CCAGTGGGAGCACAGACAACAGCAGCAATAAATTAGAACAAAAAATGTCGTGCAATAAGCGACGTTTCGAGCAATAGTCCTTTTCAAAGCGGAGCGCCGTGTCCTCTGTGCGTGCCTCTACCGCCCCCTCGCCGGACCTGGCGAGTTTTGCGAGCGCGGCGGCGATGCCACGTGGCTGCGAGAGGCGTCACCGCGGGCCGCTTCACAAACGACGGGAATCTGAAGAACAGAAGGGAGGATAGGTTTTGGGGCTGTGATCGCGTCAATATAAAAATGGGTCGTTAGCCCGCTACCAAAACCAAGACACAGCCAATCAGTGAGGGTTGTCACGTAAACAAAACGTCACAATTCGTTGCTACTTCAGCACACCGGTGTGTTGGAGAGTGAACCCACGGCATTTACAATTTGAGTTCTGCGACGTGTTGCTGGTGATTACAGTCAGCGTCATCAGGCGATTTGCCAGAATTGTTTACGTGATGTTAAATAGATTCTGAAAACGGACGAATTCATGAACGTCTTCGGAGCGATTTCCTTGCGGAATTGGTGCTCGTATCGTGTTCACAGCTCTGAAGGCAGTGGTGGGAATTCCACAGGGCTATGGCGGGGGCGAGTCTATCCACAGGACAACCACTGTTCGACTTCCACACAATGTGGTGCTTGATTTATCGGCTCCCGAACGAATGATGAGCTGAGTCACCTCTCTGGCCTCGCTGTGTGATGTGAATAAGGGCCGTTGCCCGAAACGTCACCTATTACACGCTGATTATTTTTACAGCCACGGTGTTAATGGCGAGTGTGTCGAGTGTTCCTGTTTATGTATTCTTCGGAATGGTGGGCGGGAGGGGAAAAAGGATGTGGTTACCGATTAAAACAGGTCCAATATGCAGCCAAAGTGTTTACAGTAAACAATAAATGTCGTCCTAAGGTCAGACTCGCCCCCCGTCATGGCAATGTCGAGTTTTCAACCACTGGCTCTGCGGGGCTGGAATCAGGAGGTGAGGACCAATTCCTCTTTCATTGCCGATTCGAGAGAGGCGCGACATCGCTGGGACCTGGGGACACGCGGCCACTGCGCAGCGGCTGTGAGACCCGGCGAAGAGCAGAGAGGGGTGGTGGTCTTGAGGCGGAGGTGGAGGGGGTGGAGGTGGAGGGGGTGGAGGGGGAGGAGGAGGTGGAGGAGGAGAGGGAGGAGGAGAAGAGGGAGGAGAGGGAGTGGGGAGGATCTGCGATTGTGCAAATGACCTTGGCCCCAACGACAACTTGACCTTGCTTTCAAGTTGAGGACTTAAACATGTACTTTTTTGTTGCTATGAAGAACGACCTATGCCCGAAACGTCGCCTTTCAAAACCACCCCTCCTTCCCCAGATATATTGGGAAGCGACACATATGGTGAATGCAAATTGTGGTGATTTTAAACGGTGATGAGATATTGAGACGTTTGTCCAACAGTGGATTGACAATGGCTGCTGCTGATGATGAAACTTTATTCGGTTATTTCAAACACAATTATTTATAGAAACAAATCATGAAACAAAAGCATACGCAAGCGCCGTGCTGCTGCTGCTGATGATGACGATGGCTGGGAAGCGTGCTGACGTCACCACATCTTGCACAGCGACCCCTCACCAACCACCACGACCCCTCACCAACCACCACGACTCCTCACCAACCACCACGACCCCTCACCAACCACCACGACCCCTCACCAACCACCACGACCCCTCACCAACCACTACGACCCCTCACCAACCACCACGACCCCTCACCAACCACCACGACCCCTCACCAACCACTACGACCCCTCACCAACCACCACCCCTCACCAACCACGACCCCTCACCAACCACCACGACCCCTCACCAACCACCACGACCCCTCACCAACCACTACGACCCCTCACCAACCACCACGACCCCTCACCAACCACCACGACCCCTCACCAACCACTACGACCCCTCACCATCCACTACGACCCCTCACCAACCACCACCCCTCACCAACCACGACCCCTCACCAACCACGACCCCTCACCAACCACCACGACCCCTCACCAACCACGACCCCTCACCAACCACCACGACCCCTCACCAACCACAACCCCTCACCAACCACGACCCCTCACCAACCACAACCCCTCACCAACCACGACCCCTCACCAACCACAACCCCTCACCAACCACGACCCCTCACCAACCACGACCCCTCACCAACCACTACGACCCCTCACCAACCACCACCCCTCACCAACCACGACCCCTCACCAACCACGACCCCTCACCAACCACGACCCCTCACCAACCACAACCCCTCACCAACCACGACCCCTCACCAACCACGACCCCTCACCAACCACGCAAGCACCTCGCTGGCACCGATTTGTTAATTTTGTTTAATTCGCGTGCTTATAATTTAAACGTAGCGCTCTTGCTCAATCCACTGCTGGATAGAGGACCTCCCGACGCTTGGCCAGTGCGTCTTGGTGAGCAGGCGGACCCAGATATCACGTCGCCACTGATGTTAGCCGTGCCCGGGTATCGAACTCGTGTCATCATCATCATCATCCATGAGCAGATAGCCCCGTCGGTGTCCGTTGCACGTGTCGTGACGTGTCGCCACTTTCCTCTGTCGTGGAGTGAGCTCAAGTCGTGGCCACATCTTCCTGGCACCGACCTCGTACGGCGATGTCGTCGTCGTCAGGGCAGTCCCTGTTCACAGTCTTCCTCTCTTTCAGGTTCCTTACATTTTTCCGAACAACAACAACTCACTTTTAATTGTCCTGTGGTTGTCCATCCTTACAGATGTGTTCAATTAGTGCCACGTTTCCTTCTCGTCACTGCTCGCATTGAGTGGCCTGGTTGAAATCGTGATGATTCTATCCACAGTGAACGCGTTGCATGCTAAAGCTTGGCCTCGGCGGAACGCTTCGTAATCAGGGCCGACGGCGGCCGAGAGTAATGACGGAGCGGCAGCCGAGGAACGGAACGCGGGACCCAGCGGAGCGTCCTCCAGGGAGATGGAGCGATAGAATTGGCTCGTGGCGTGTGGTAGTTGGGGCGCTGGGTGGATTTTTGCATCGCGAGACCGCGAGCCATAGCCACGGCATGGAGGGGTGGGGGCAAGGCGGTTCATCCAGCAGTGGAATGATCATGGATGGCTACAAACAGGGCCGTCCATGGGAGGGGGGGGGGGGGGCCGGAGCAACTCACACCGACGCCTTCAAACTAAACGGGGGAAGTATTACATCTGACACCGTTCCGTCGAAGCGAGAGCTCCCCCCACCCCAAGCGCGGGACCCGGGGTGGTCGCCCAGATTCGCGGTGTACCCTCGAGGTGGCTCTGATGGTGGTGGTGATGGAGCACCGTGGCGTGGAGCCACACGCCAGGCTGATTCGCATCGGACTCCTTGGCGTGGCCTCCCCTGGGGGGGTGGGGGTGGCTCTCTGCTGCCCCCCCCCCCCCTGCTGTGGCGTGACCGCGTGGTGGCTACACGCGGCGTTAGCGCGCCGTAATTGTTAGAGTCGCGCAAAGCATCTCCGTCGGTAAAGCAACGCCCTCCCGGGAACATGCCTAGCGCTGTTTGCCAAGCCACAAAGGCAAAAATCCCTCCCGTGTGGCCCTTAACAGAGTGTTGGGGTTAGCACCGCTTTGTTAGCGAGCACTAATGGTGGCCGGAACGGCACACGAGGAGAGAGTCGGCCAGCACCACGCCCGGCCGGCTTTGTCTCCCCATCGCTGATGCTTAACACACACCGAACCAGCTACTCATTTAAAGGCTGAACCGATCCAAGGGAGGCCCGAGAACTGTCAAGATATCACTCGCCACTTCTGTTCGGTCGTGGCCGGGAATCGAACTCGGGTGGCCGGGTTCGTCGCGAGGAGGTGTCCCACCGCTCTCATGAACCCCACACCCACGTGCGCACGCACGCACACGTGGGTGCGCGTGCGTGACACGATGAGTCTGCCTTGACCCCCCCCCCCCCATCCAAGGGGGGGGGGGATGAGAGGATGAGAGGACGGTGGGGGTCTTCCCCACCACCCCTGACTCATCAACAACAACCGCCATTCACCACTAAGTGGCCATCACGTCACCACGGCGCTTGTGCCAGACTAGGTGCACGTTATGGCCACGTGAAAGGGTCGAACGCCCGCTGGCAGGAGGTTACGGGACAGACCCAGCAGGTGCCATGGTTTGACTGAGATGACTAGCAGATGCACCACCTGTGCCCTCTCCTATGCCAGCCCGCTCTGTGCTTTAGCCCCGTGGCTGTCACGAGCGAGGGTCGAAAACGCCGCTCCACGCGTTCCACCAACTCGACCCTTCGACTGCCATTCCCCATCCATCACCCGGAATGAGATGACATTGCCGGGTCAGTTCGAGTCCAGGCTCATCAAGACACCTCGGCTTCTCCTCTTCTGACTGTGGCTGGCTACGTCTTCTCTAGAACACATTCGAGAACAATATAAATACGTGAGCACCATCAGGACTTCAAAATTAGCCGGAACTGCCCGAGGCTGAGCGCCGAAAAATCCGAGCCCCCCCCCCGCTCCCCACGCACCGCGAGAGCGGGCGGGGCCCGGAGGTGTTTGGGGTTGGGGTGCTCGGGATAATCGGCCACGAGAAACGAAGCTCTGGGCCCTGTATTTAATCACCCTCCCGAGGCGATGTCCGGCTCACGGTGTTGATGTCAATCCACATCGTGTCGTGAGGGGTGGCAGAGGCGGGCGAGGAGTGGCAGGGGAGGAGAGGGCATAGGAGAGGGCAGGGAGGAGAGGGCAGGGAGGAGAGGACATGGAAGAGGGCAGGGCAGGGCTACGGTGTGACGCAGGTGCTCGCTTGCGCAACGGTCCGTGGTGACTCACGGTGGCGCACCCCTCTCGTGCCTCGCGGCACAAGGGGGGGTTAGTGGCGGCGTGGGGGTCGCGGTGTGCGAGGGGTGGAGTGGGGGAAGGGGGGGTGGAGCGAGGGGGGTAGGCGGGGAGTTGGCGGCGCCCCTGAGATCCCAGGACCCAGACCGCGCTTCGTGATCCTCGCCATCAGTCGCGACACAGAGAGCGCGCGCGCCACGAGTAGATGCCGATCGCCGCGCTGTCCCTGGACTTAATAGGCGCTCGCTGACAACGCTTGCTAGCGACACACACGCGCGCGTACAGCCACGCGTTCGTGCCATACACAGGTACACGTAGACACACACCCGACCCAACACGCGTGCACAGAAACGCAAGTAAACACGCGCACGTGCGCGCACAGCTACACGCGTACATACTCGTTCACGTGCACGTGTATACAGAGGTACATACACACGTACGAGTACACTCACGCGTGCACACATTGGGATACACACGCAGGTGCACGTAGGCACAACCGGGTGAATACACACACACACAGACAGACGCGCATACACAAGCACATTCAGAGTCGCAGGTACACACACACACAAGGGAATTTGCACACTCGCACACGGGCAAGTCTACACGCAAACACGCACGCTCACACACTCATGCAAACGCACGGTCAGCTACACGCCGGGACGACCCCAAAGCTCGAGAGCGGGGTCGCGTTTGGACCCCGCGGCGCGCACGGGGCTCTCCCCGTCTCGGGGGACCCCGGGGGAAGCAACGGGGATCCCGGCACCAAGGCGGAGAGGCGGGAGGAGTCGCGCGAGGTGAAGGCGGTGATCGTGGGAGACGGAGCGTGCGGGAAGACCTCGCTGCTCATGGTTTACGCGAAGGGCGCTTTCCCCGAGGTGGGTACCCCCGCAGTCCCCCCACGGTCCCCCCGCGGTCCCTCCGCTGTCCCCCCCCCCGATCCCCCCGCTGTCCCCCCGCTGCCCCCTCCCGATCCCCCCGCGACCCCCCCGCTGCACCCCCCCCCCCGATCCCCCCGCTGCTGTTGCCGCGGCGCGCGCAGTGCGTCCGAGCCACCCGGAGCGCTCCACAGTCCGGGACAGCTGTGAATAGCTCGGGGGGGGGGGGGGGGGTTCCGCCTGCTTCGGGTCAAGTCAAACTCACGCATACGCGTGAGTGTGTCACTGTGTGTGTGTCACTGTGTGTGTGTGTCACTGTGTGTGTGTCACTGTGTGTGTGTCACTGTGTGTGTGTCACTGTGTGTGTGTCACAGTGTGTGTGTGTGTGTCACTGTGTGTTTGTGTGTGTCACTGTGTGTTGGTGTCACTGTGTGTGTGTCACTGTGTGTGTGTCACTGTGTGTGTACGTGTGTGTCACTGTGTGTGTGTGCGTGTTTGTGTACGTGTGTGTGTGCGTGTGTGTGTGCGTGTGTGTGTGTGTGGGGAGCGGTGGTGTAGCAGTTAGCGCTATGAACCCGGCGGCCCCAATTCGATTCCCGCTCACGGCCAACACCGGTCATGGGCCTCCTCCCCTAGGTCGACTCAGCCTCAAATGAGTACCCGGTGCGATGTGTAAACATCGCCACTGGGAAGACAAAGGCGGCCCGGCGTGGTGCTGGCCACCCACTCCCTCGTGTGCCGTGCCGGCCTTCATAGGTGCTACTCGCTAAACAGCACTTGCCTCAACCGTGTGTTAAGGCTACACGGGGGATCTTTGTCTGTTTTTTTATTTGTCTGTGTGTGTGCCTGTGTCTTTGTCTGTGTCTGTGCGTACCAACCAGGAGAGAACTCAATCACCGAGTCGGGTTTGCGAGAGTTACTTTTGTTTTGTGATCAGCTGGGTGGATTATTGGCACCAATATTTTGCCAGATGTTGTGAGCCCTGGGATGTAACACCCAACCGGTTGGGCCGAGGTCGACGACTTACGGTTGAATCCGGCAGGCAACGTTTGGCCCCACACTGTAAAACGCGTGTCGTGGCCAGGGAGACGGGAGGCTGGATGCTCGGCAACCCACCTCGTCCGTGCGGTGAGCTCACCTCTGGGTTCTCTCTCTGTCTCTCTGCGGGCTCCTCCCAAACAGCGCGCCAGTGTCAGGTAACCACCCAGGAAGCTTGCCAACGTTGGCATAACGTTGCAACCGCTGTGCCAACATTGAGCCCTATCCGTTCCATGATTACCGGGCAGCGATGGTGGATGGGCAATGCCACCCGGCTTACGTCGCTGGTGGGCGGCGTGAGAGCGGAGCGCACACGACGCTCGCTGGACGCCACTCGATGCGTGCGCCTCGAACAGCGTGTCTCTCCCTCGCTCCGTGCGGGGTCAGATTTCCGTGGTCGCGGTCAGGACTCCCGAGGGAGTTCCCGCGAGGATTCCGAGTCTCCGTGTTTTCACGTCGCAGGCAACCCGAGTAGCAGCGATGTCGTACGCGAACGGCCATTCTGTCAATCCACTGCTGGAGGGAGGCCCTCTCTCTGCTTGCTTGTGTGACCATACTTCACTACGCTGGTCAGTGAAGGTTGGTGAAGTACGTTGGGACATAGGTAGTAGAGCACAACAATTGATGTCGCTGCGCCGGCCACAACGTAGCTCAGTAGCAGCATCATACTTTATAAACACGTGGGCTCTATGCGCTGTGGTGGTCGCACATACAAGCGCCGTCCAGGCTCCATCCTGCTGAGCTTCCGAGATCCGACGAGGTTGAGGGCGTTGTTGGTAGCAGCCCTCCCTGGCTCACCTCGACGCGCGTGGCCTTAAAAGGAACAATCTATACCAGGCGACGTTTCGGGCAATGGCCCTTCTGCAGCCACGGTGGTGAGATGTTAACTACCTCGCCTGGTATGCAGGAAGTCGTGGGTTCGAAACTCGACTCTGACGCTTGCTGCTGTATATTTGCAGTGTGCGTGTCTCTCTCTCTCTCTCCTCTCTCTCCCCGTGGTCGCGTGGAATTTTCTAAGAGTCCTCCGGTTTTCCCCTCCACATGTAGAGTCGACATCACCACGCGTGTAGAGAATGTGGCTGCTGCTGCTGCTGCTGTACATGTCCACGTGGTGATGATGATAATGACAAGACACTTTCGTCGAGGTGCCACTTGTGGCCAGATCGCTTCTGAAAGAGCCAAATAGCTCAGTGGGCCTGTCCTGGTAAAAATAAAAATAGTTTAACTTCGTGCATAGCAACAACTTTCCATGGCTTGCGTCCTCTTCCTATGAGCTGACGGTACGCAGGTTTGAGCCCCATCACAGGCGAGTGGCCGTGGTAATGACCGAGGCGCGGTCAACTTCGCCATTGTGTCCCCTCGTCGCCTCTGAGTTCAAGAATTTGAAGCGATTCGAAAAGGATCTCACGAAGAACAATCAACCTCAGCCCCGATCTCACGAAAAACAATCAACCTCAGCCCCGATCTCACGAGGAACAATCAACCTCAGCCCCGATCTCACGAAGAACAATCACCTCAGCCCCGATCTCACGAAGAACAATCAACCTCAGCCCCGATCTCACGAAGAACAATCAACCTCAGCCCCGATCTCATGAAGAACAATCAACCTCAGCCCCGATCTCACGAAGAACTATCAGCCTCAGCCCCGATCTCACGAGGAACAATCAACCTCAGCCCCGATCTCACGAAGAACAATCAACCTCAGCCCCGATCTCATGAAGAACAATCAACCTCAGCCCCGATCTCACGAAGAACTATCAGCCTCAGCCCCGATCTCACGAGGAACAATCAACCTCGGCCCCGATCTCACGAGAAACAATCAACCTCAGCCCTACTCGCGCACGAGGCCGTGAGAAATGAGGGCCCGGATTCGCGTGATGAGAACGTTCCGACTCAGCGGAATTATTCTTTGCGGAACGGTTGTCAAAGTTATCCAATAAATGTATCACGATTGGCATCATCGTGCGTGTTTCTCTCTCAGCAGGCTCCCTGCCCGGAATTTTGGTATTCAGGGAGGCGATGATTGCTGGCAAATCTAATCCCAATTGAGTTTATTTGCAGGCGACTTCTCGGCATTGCGATGTTTTGGCCAATGCCAGCGACACTGTGCAGGCGAGAGTCATGGTCAGCGCGCTGCGTTACGAACCCAGCCACCCGAGTTTGATTCCCCCAATACCGGTGATAATTATTCGAACCGGTCCCCTAGGTCGGCTCAGCCTCAAATGAGTAACCAGTGCGGTGTGTAGTAAACATCGCCACTGGGGAGACAAAGGCGGCCGGGCGTGGTGCTGGCCACCTACCCCCTCGTGTGCCGTGTCTGCCTTCATATGTGCTTGCTAACATCACTTGACACTAAAAGTCTGTCAGGCTGTGAGGGGGAGCTTTGGATTATTTTTTATTTAGCTCGTGGCCGAATGCCATTCATCGTCAACACGAAGACGCTGGCTTGACAAGTTTTTCAATCTTCTTGATGTGAGAACTTTTGTTGACCCAGGTCACTAGTGCGACTTGAGACTCCTATCCCGGAATCTCGAGTTCTCACCCGTGGTTTCAACGAAACAAAATTGAAACGAAGCCGCTGTCCTGCCGATTACAAGCGACTCAATTTGCGTGCACTGTCACTCTTACAATTTTGGCCGATGGCGCCAGGACCGGATTGGCCAACTCTGGCGTCACAATGGGGGGGGGGGAATGGGGGTGGGGGCAGAACAGGGGGCGTGGTGGGGGGGGGGCTCTCGATAATTAGGGGTCTTGATTCGGTCAGCGGTCGTGGTTTCGTGAGATTTAAACGCGCAGATTTCCGAACATCACCTGGTGCCTCGCCTGGCGTCACGTGGTGCAGGCGCCAGCCAGGATTAATGGGCAAGCGGTGTAATAGCGCGTGCGGGCTGCCTTGCACCACCGCCATCGTCACCACCACCATAATCACCACCACCACCTCCATCATCATCATAATCACCATCATTATCACCACCACCATCGTCACCATCGTCACCATCATCACCACCACCACCATAATCACCACCACCTCCACCACCATCATCATCATCACCACAACCATCTTTATCACCATTACCACCACCATCGTCACCATCATCACCACCACCCCCATCGTCACCATCATCACCACCACCACCACCACCACCTCCATCACCACCATCATCACCATCATTATCACCAACACCACCACCGTCATCACCATCATTACCACCACTATCACCACCATCATCAATCCCTTGCGTTCACGTCAACGCCCGTCATCATCGTAACCACAATCAGACCCTGCATGTCTCATTCAACTAATTACCACCACCACCATCATCATCATCATAAAAGCATATCGTGTTCGCGTCATCATAATGAGACTCATCGTCATTTAGTTAACAATTGTCATTGGAGTCGTCGTCGTCACCATCTTCAGACCGTGCGCCAGGCCACTCACCGTGTCCACGTGTTTGGTTGCCCCATCCCGCCCTCCCCCCCCGCCACAGAAGTACACCCCGTCCGTGTTCGAGAAGTTCTCCACCACCGTGGCGCTCGGCAAGAACACCGTGGTGCCGCTCTCCCTGTGGGACACCTCGGGTACGAACCCCACCACTCCCACACCAACACCACCACCACCACCTTACCTACAGCCTCAACACCACCACCACCACTCCCACACCAACACCAACACCACCACCACCTTACCTACAGCCTCATTAACACCACCACCACCACCACCTTACCTACAGCCTCAACACCACCACCACCACTCCCACACCAACACCACCACCACCTTACCTACAGCCTCATCACCACCACCATCACCTTACCTACAGCCTCATTAAACCACCACCACCTTACCTACAGCCTAATCACCACCACCTTACCTACAGCCTCATCATCACCTACACCACCTTACCTACAGCCTCATCATCACCACCACCACCTTACCTACAGCCTCATCACCACCACCACCACCTTACCTACAGCCTCATCACCACCACCACCACCTTACCTACAGCCTCATCATCACCACCACCCTACCTACAGCCACAACACCTACCTAACCTACATCGCCCTAATCACATCATCACAACACCTACATCACCTGCACCCCTCACCTGTGCGCTCCTCACCTGCAGGACAAGAGGACTACGACCGCCTGCGCCCTCTCGCCTACCACGACACCCACGTGATCCTCATCTGCTTCGACGTCACGAGTCCCGACAGCCTCGACAACGTCTTCTCCAAGGTGCGGGGGGTCCCGTCCCCTCCCCCCATCTCCCTCCCTCCGCTCCCGACTCCCTCCCCTGAGCTCCCCCTTCAGCTCTCCATCCCTCACATTCATCCCCTCCCCCAATCTCTCCCTTTCCTCCTCCAGAGGTATCCCCCGGCGTTCCTCCCTCCATGACGACGGCGGTGACGACGATTGTGATGATGGCGATAACCGTGACCAGAATGATGGTGGTGACTTGAACGATCATGATAACGATTATTACGACTATGATTACAGACAAGGACGATGATAGCACAAATGAAACGCTAAACACACACACTCACATTCACACGATGAAACTGCTTTGGGCCAAACATCCCAAATGCTGAGAAATCACCGGGAAATGACTCCGTTGGGATTACAGCAGCAGCGCCCTCCACTGCAGAGAGACAACAAGGCGGTAGGACCCTCCTGAAAGAGACTCTTGACACTCGGTGATTCTTTCCTGGGGAAACAAGCGCAACAACAATAACAACAACAACCACGAGTGGTGGTGGTGGCGGTGGTGGGGAGCGGTAGTGTAGCGGTCAGCGCTACGCTGCGCTACGAACTCGGCGACCCGAGTACGACTCTTGCTGTTACGATTCTCTGAACCGGTCCTGGGCCTCCCCTAGGTCGACTCAGCCTCTAATGATTACCGGGTAAGGTGTGTAAACATCGCCACAGGGGAGACAAAGACGACCGGGCGTGGTGCTGGCCACCCACCCCCTCGTGTACCGTTCCGCCCTTCATAGGTGCTACTCGCTAACAGCAACTTGCCCCTACAGTCTGTTAAGGCTACACGGGGGATCTTCGCCTTTGTCTTCGGTGCCGTCCCCTTCCGCAGTGGGCCCCCGAGGTTGGCCACTTCTGCCGCGGCGTCCCCGTCCTGCTCGTGGGCTGCAAGAGCGACTTGCGCAAGGACAAACTGCGCCTGCGGCGGCTTCGCGAGCAGGGCCAGGAGCCCGTGACCTACACGGCGGTGAGCGAACGCGCGCCCATCCCCGCGTGATCCACCGACCCTTCCCCTCCCCACCCCACCCCGCCGCCGGCGTGCGAGCGTCGGACCGCAGCGCTGCCCCCCGTGACCGGCGAGAGATGTGCGGGCACCAGGGGCGTGTGGGGGGGGGGGGGGGCGAGAGGTGGGTCGTGAGAGACGGGTGAGGGATGAGTGAGCGGCGAGTGGTGAGTTAAGTGGTGAATTAGGCGAGTGGTGAGTTAAGTGGTGAATTAGGCGAGTGGTGAGTTAAGTGGTGAATTAGGCGAGTGGTGAGTTAGGCGAGTGGTCAGTTGAGTGGTGAGTTGAGTGGTGAGTTAGGCGAAAGGTGAGTCAGTGGCCTTTACCTACAAACATTAAACATAAATAGTTTAGTTTTATTTGTATATTTTAAGTGATTTGTTTACTTCCCTCTACTTTGCACTCCTATCGTGTTTTGTTTGTTGTTGTTGTTACGTTCTGATCCGTTCCGAACTGGACATCTGTGAAAAAGAGCTTTATAGCTCATCGGATTCATCCAGTCTAAATATTCGGGTTCTGGGTTCACGCGGGACGCCGCCTGCAGACGCAGAGAAAGCCCAACACGGGCAGACGCACGGATCAGGGCTGCCGCCGCAGACGCACGGCGCAGCGAGAGGGGCCGCCGGCCTGGCGCGGTTGACGCCTCCCGTGCCCCGAACCCCCTCCGCGTGACGGGCGCAGCCACGCCGAGAGTCGCGCATCGCCCCGGCCTCCATCACCCCCCTGCATCACCAGCACCACCACCACCATCATCTCACAGGGGGCAGAGGCCGGGTGGTCAGGGGGTCTCGGCGTTGATCCGCTCAGTGCGACCCACTCGACTTGTCTCTCTCTCACGCAGCGACGTGTGATTTTTTTTGCAATCGAGGAAAATCCGTAATCGACGCACGAGCTGTCGTTCCGTCACCCCCACCGTTACCCCCGCGCGCGTGTGCCCCCGTCTCCTCCAATTCCTCTACCCCCGTGTCCCCATGCTCGCTCTACCCCCTGCCCTTGTGCTTCCCTCATCCCCGTGTATCCCACGATCCCCATATCCCGTGTTGCCTTCCCCGTGTCTCCGTCCCCATTCTCACGACCTCCCGACCCCCGTCCCCATGCTTTCGTTCTCTCTGCCCACCTCCACCCTACAGGCCACGGAGGCGGCGCAGCGCATCCAGGCTCACGAGTACCTCGAGTGTTCGGCCAAGTTCTATGAGAACGTGAGCTCCGTGTTCCGCGACGCAGTGCAGCTGGGGCTGCGCACGCAGCGCAGGGAGAGGCGACGTGCGGGGCGGAAGGCTCGCGCCTGCACCCTGCTCTGAGCCATCGCAGCCTCCACGCCTCCCCCCCCCCATCCTTTCTCAAACATCCTCGATCGTCCTCGTCTATGGACGTGACATTGACCGTTGGGATGGACCAAGCAGTGGCCTCCTCCTGGACTTCCTCGGCCTCGCCCGATCCTCTTCGGCCATCGATGACCCCAGTGGCCGCGTGATGGACCAAACGATGGCCTCCAACAACCGCTGATGAGCTTCTCCACCCACCACCTCCCACCCCAACTCCTCCACCCACCACCTCCCACCTCAACTCCTCCACCCACCACCTCCCACCCCAACTCCTCCACCTACCACCTCCCACCCCAACTCCTCCATCCACCACCTCCCACCCCAACCACTCCTCCACCCACCACCTTCCACCCCAACCCCCACCACCGAATGAATTTAAGCCATGTCCGAGTCTGCAAACCGGCGAGTATTTCCGGACCTGGCACACCACATCCACCATACCTCTCGCTGTGGCCGTGGCGACAACAGCACATGCCACCAACTCCACTCTACCAGGAACACAACCAGGGAGGAATGAATCCCTGAATGAGCCAAACGCTCGCATCCCACGTGCCGCTCAACGGCTCCTCAGACAGACACACGCGAAGGGACCAGAGGATCCTCCTACTCCTGGCCAGGAACTCTCCCCTCGAGAGCTAGAGTTATTTTCGTTACTTTATTCTGCTAACGTTTGCATGGCGACGCGGGGCATGTGACTTCAAACCCGAGATCGTTGAACTGGCGTCTTCGGGACCTGGACGCAAACCCTCACAGCTCGAAGTCGCGGGCGACAAGGGGCTCCGGGAGAGGAGTGACTTGTCTGGGAGAGAAGTGTGAGCGGCCCTGAGGAGCATCCCCTCACGCGGGTCAGGGTCTGGATCAAGGATTTCGCCCCAAGTCCAGAGGGATTGCTGGATTCCTGCGGGAGAGGCGCCCACGGGTGATCCTAGCCGTGGCTACGACGTCACCGCTCAGCCGCTGGGACCAGCCGCGGTCACGTGGTGTTTAAAACAAAAAAAAGTCTCCGAGGACAGTGTTAGGCTACGAGTACATGCTGGTGTAAAGGCCGAGACATTCGACATCGCACGGCCGATTCGTATGTTTCGGTGGTGGTGACGTTTTTTCCAAAAAACCTAATTATTTTTACCAAAAAAAACAATTGGAAATTGGGCTGTTTACTCCATTGCCCAAAACGTTGGCCGATGTTCACTGGCAGCGTTCACTGGCAGTGTTTCTGACCCCGCACCCCGCCAGCTAACACTTTATTAATCTGTAACTCGCCGCTGCCTTTGTGAAGAGCTGCGCACGCGGTCACCAACCTCATGGGTGCCGTGGCATATTGTAGGCAACGCCGCAAAGTGACATTTTTTCCCCTTTAACTTATACTGTATTCTTTTAAACGAACGACGAAAGAAAGTCCACTCAAGTTGTTTTATGCCACAGGCCAATCGCCGTTGGATCTTTGTGGCGCCCTACATTCCGATGCGGGGCTAGGTGTCCGCTCCTGCAGGTCATCCACACGGGGTTAGATTCACGTATTCACAAAACTAAAATCACGGTTACCCATTGGCTCAAACCTCCCCCCAGCGGCCAGCAACAAACAGCACTATTAATAAAGGTTTAATGGACAAGGAGTTAGTATGCTGAATTGAACAAAAGGTTTTGATTTAAAGCTTTCGTGACTGCAGTAATTCATATTCTTAGTTTTTTCGGTAAAGTCACGTTGAAGAGAAACAACAAAATAACAAAATATATATAAAACAATAAAAAATTTTCTCACGACGTTTCGACCATAACTCAAACGGTCATCATCGACACACCTGATGATGACCGTTTGAGTTATGGTCGAAACGTCGTGAGAAAATTTTTTATTGTTTTATATATATTTTGTTATTTTGTTGTTTCTCTTCAACGTGACTTTACCGAAAAAACTAAGAATATGAACAAAAGGTGTTTAGAACTTGGGGAAACGGAGACGATGCGGAAGGCGTTCGACGGTCAAGTAACGCGCCGCCGTGGGGATTCGTCCCGTCGTTGGCGATGGCCACCGATGGCGAATTCGCCAAATATCGGACAAAGAGGAGGGCAACGGATTTCGCCACGAACACGCGAATCGGGCCCAGCTGTGAAGCTCACGGAGTAACTGGAGACGTGGTCCCATTCAGAAGCTCCAAACGCATCCACGCTGCACGGTGTTAAATCGGCGGCGCTCACGTCGGCAGCGCCTGTGAACGCAATGGCATTTGAGGTCTGGTTTGAGAATTAATCCATTGTTCTAAAAGGGGCTCTCTCACACCTCGGTTTTAATTAAAGTTCACCCAGTGACTTTTCTCCGTCCACTTCGTGCGGCAGCTCTTGAGAGGACGTAGTGGTAGCACCACTCTTAACTCGTTTAAAAGTTAAAACGTAAAACCTCTCTTTTGGTTGTTGAACAGTGACTAATGCCCGGAATTGTTGACGACGGCTGGAATGACGGTGGTGGCTCCTGAAACGATGATGTTGATGTCCTGCGACAGCTGTAATTGTATCACCGTTTGACCGCTTTGCACAACGTAAAACCACGTGAAAATTGTTATGCTATTTAATTTTTTTCATTTTTAACAAGAACCGTAAAGTTGTATTTACCGGGGGGAAAGGGGAAAAAGCAACAACAACAAAAAGCTAAATCTGAGACACGAGCCGCGTGGATTAAGCAGCGAAAATGACGTGAAATACTGTTGTAGTTTTAATAATAAATTATTACAATACTACTTTGCACAATTGCCGGTTACATTTCTTAAACATGACACCGTGGTTACACCATGTGGGGCATCCCAACCGGCAACCGCCCCCCCCCCTCCCCACGAGTGAACCGCCCCCTCCACCGCACAAGATGGCAAGGGGGTGAGAGCTGGCCTCTGGGAGATTTCAAATCCACGGAGGTGACATTTCGTTTATGTAATCCCTGCTTGGCCCCCACACGGGAACGCCAGTAACTCTGCCTCCATCGTCACGGAACTCGTCAAGACTTTGAAGCGAACGCTGCAAGCGATGCAGGGCGGAGGTGCGGCCCAACGCCCCGCGGAGTAGCCCAAGGCCGGCGGCCGCTGTGGCAAGCTGTACGGCGCATGCACGGTAATCGGCAGAAAAATAACCTCGGGCGAATCGCAATCGGCTCTCTCTCTCTCGACGAAACCTCCCCCGGCACCTCCGGGCGCCATCCGTCATCCCAGCGGAGGTGCGAACGGCGCTGCAGGGACGCGGGTAACCCTCGGACCGCGCCCTTGTGCGCGTGTGCGCGCAAATCGACGCCGAGGCGCGCCGTCGTAGACGCTGAAAAGTAAAATTAGGCGAGTTTTAAAACGTAGAGTCAGCACTCTCGCTGTTGTCGGGGCGGACGCAGGTCGATATAAAAATGGATGAACGTTTCTTCGTAACACGGACGGCTCTGGGTTTGTCGGGGGTCGCTGCGCGCCCGCGGTTTTTCCCCGCAGGCGTCGCGGTTTCTCAGGCGCTCTTGTCCTTGTCGCCCGTGCCCTCGTGTACGCTCTGCACCTTCTGCTGGATCACCCGCAGCGTGGTGAGGAGGTTCCCACCGAAGAGCACAAGGAAAGTGAGCGCCAGCACGAACACCTGCGCACGAGGGGACGGCGGCTCGAGGTTAGGCGGACGTCAGGCGCGCCCCGCCGCGACGGCGCCTGCGACGACGGCGCCACGCGGCGGTAGCTCGCGAGCCAGCCCACGCCGCGCACACCGGGTGGCCAAAAGCCTTTAAGGAAACGTCCATTGTTGCTCGCACCAACGTAAACGTCGCGGCTTAGCTGTGCAAACTCAGATTTTAGGTTTACTGTGACAACCCAAGGCAAGGTTTGAGAATCGTCGCATTATTTCGCGACAACAACGAGTCGTGCCGCCGCTCGGGGCATTTGGATGCGGCGAGTAAAACAGACATCGTCACTCCGAAGCCCGCGAAAGCGGCGAGAGGTTACAAAAGAAATGCACATTTTTGTCGTGGGGGTGAGGACGCCGAAGATTTCAGCGTGCGGCTCACCTGCCACTCCTTGCACTCCTTGTGCTGAGCCAGCTTGAACAGCGTGATGGAGTTGTACAGCTGCCACAACTTGAAACACACGAGCGGCGTGCTCGCGATTAGGGGGTACCAGCAGGGGTTCACAGTTCATAACGAAGAAGACAAACATCGGGTCGCAGCGAACCGTCCCTTTGTCAGCGGTTTGGGATTTCACGCAAATATTTAATTATCGTCATTCACAATGCACGCGGAAAGTATGCGGAGCATGCGCAAGCTCGAAGTTCATGTTGGCTTGGTTCAGGTTAGCCCCTCTCCCCCCCGTCCAAATTCCTCGCAGGCTGCAGGGGAGAAGAAGGCGTGTTAGCAACAGCGAGTGTCCCCACCTAGCACACAGGAAGATGGTCTACACCAGTCGTATGGCAACGCAAATTTGCAGAGAGAAGCCAACTTAATCCAGCAATTGCCCACCCGCTTTGACTTATGCAAATGACAGAAACACTGAGATTGGTATCTCTTGATTACATTCCACACCGATGGGGTTTTCAGGTTGTACCGTGTGCATTGTTTGGTAACAACCTGAAAACACACACCGGTGAGATATACGGCACAACCGCGGAAGCCGATGTAGTGAAAACCAAATTCCGCTTGTGCTGCGGGTGTCACGTCATGAGGCAAAGGAGACTTCAATTTTGAACTCTCTCACAGCGAACCACCACGTGTTGGAGAACAGCCACGGAAGGTGACAACTACTTCTGAAGTCGCATCAACAGCAATCTTTATCCGCACTTGGGACACACTATTTAAAAGCCTTTCAAAGAGTGTTGGTAGCACGTAAATAAAAGATAACACTCGTCATTCAAGAAAAGCCAGTCTGGTGGCTTTCCTTGTGCACTCATCGGTGACCGGACCGAGTCCATAAACTCGCCGCACACGACAACCGGATCTATTAACGGACGGTTGCCCGGATGTGATCCCAGGATCTCAGCAGCGCTGGCTCAGTGCCCCAATGCGGTGGTGTTAGCCTCCGGGTTGCCCGGTCGCCTCCCACTCATTCTCTTGCGCAAGACGGACCCCCCCTGTGGGCTCTATTTACGCATGGGCGGTTTAGTTCTAATTTTGGATGTAAGTCTCATACATGAGCTCTTACGACTATTCGTCTGAGCACGCAAGAGACTGCCGCTGTGGTTTTCACCCAATCTTCTCGATAGTTATTTTACATAGCGTGGCTAAGCGTCCGTAACGCTCCGCGTAACCACCAAGGGCAGAGCGGCGGCGCAGCAGCGGTTAGCCCACCCCGCTGTGAATCTGGCGGCCCGAGTTCGATAAACCGACCAGGGCTAACACCGGGACCAGTCGGTGGCCCCGCCACTCCTTCCCCTTCCGACGCGGGGGTGGGGGGGGGGGGGAAACCGTGCCCAATGAAACGTTTGGGGGAGGCCACGCAAACCGGCGACGTTGCGGGCTCGACCGAAATCGTAAAGAGAGAACCTGGGGCACGTGCAGAGGAGCTCGACAAAAAGGGGGCACAACGCACGCTGATGCGTGAGACTCGGGGTTAAAACCCACGGCGCGGTGGCGTGGCTCCTCCCGTGTGCTTCGGTTTCACGGAGGCTACGGTGCCAGCTGTGCCTGCCACACCCTTGGGGAGAGGATCCTGGCAGAGCCGGGCGTGGTGGCCGCACGCCTGTTGTGGTGAATCTGGCAGGACGCTCGCCTGGGTGTATTCTCCGTAAAAAATACATATGCGGTGTCTGCTTCACATTGGGACGTTGGGGATCACGTGATGTCATTCGCATGAATAGGCCATTGTGTTCCGGCGTCATGGTCCAAGTAAAACATTAATAAAAAATCATAAAATGTCATAATGGCAATTATTACGATGCAATTACATTCATTACATCGAGATCTTCCCAAAGATGGCCTGTCGGCCAAAACGACAAAGTTTTGCTCGGTGTGAACTCACGTGGCCAAAGAAGAGGAACGGAAGCAGGAACGTGAGTCCACGCCACATCCACGACTGGAACCCCTCTGGGTCACACGAGGGCAACAGAAAGACACGCGCACACACACAAACGCACACGCAAATGTAGATGGACGCAGACAGATGCATGCTCACACAGACAGACAGACATGCGCACGCAGGCAAATGCAAAATGACACAAAAATCTCCCGTATAGCCTGTAACAGACTGGTGGTCAAGTGCTGTTAGTGAGCACCTTTGAATCCCGGCACGGCACATGAGGGGGTGGGTGACCAGCACCACACTCGGCCGCCTTTGTCTCCCCAATGGCGATGTTTACACAGCATACTGGCTACTAATTTTAGGCTGAATGGAGCTAGGAGAGGCCCATGACCGGTTCAGATGATCGTTACTGGTGTTGGTCGTGAGCGGGAATCCAACTCGCCGAGTTCGAAGCGCAGCGCACTAACCGCTACACTACCGCTCCCCACTGGCAGACACGCACACGACTGACAGACGCTCAAACATACACACACAAGCGTCCACGGGTCACGAGACAGAATGTGCCGTGGCCCTGCGGTCAAGGCCGTTCCAAAGGTGGCAGGAGGACAAAGCGACGGTGAGGCATTGAAGGAGCGACGCTCACCAACGGTCAGATCCATGTTGTGCCTCTGCCCCAGCGCACGCAGCCGGTACAGACAGCCGCTCTGGTAGTAATACTGCAGGAACTGGAGGAAGTCTGTTGGGACAAAGAACAGCATTCGCACACACCCGTGGAAAATGCGTACCATCCGCGCACAGGGCTTAATTTTTCACAGAGGAATTTCCGGGTCACTAGGGGATTGGAGTGGTTGACACTTCTGTATATTGAACTTCTTTTGCACAGTAAGTAGCCAACCGTGCTAATCGGAGGTGCGGCAGACTATCATCCACACCCGTAGCGAGAAGTATACTGGACGCGGTGTGCTGGATATGGAGCTAGTTGCTGGTTCATACATCTGGACAGACCCGGCTGGAATTAAAGCTTTGTTGTACGCAGGGCTGTCCACAGCGAGGGGTGCGGGATCCGGGGAAAATCCCAAAGTGTGGGTCCTCCGAGGCATTCAAACTAAACCGGGAGTATTACATTTGACACCGTGACGTCGAAGTGCGGGGCCCCCCCCCCCCCAAAGCACGGGGCCCGGGGCGGTCGCCCCGATTTACCATACTCCGACGAACGGCTCTGGTCGTACATGTGTGCAGCGTGCTGTGATTGCGTGGTGGCTGGTGGGGATTGGCTCGGAGAGTTGGAGGAGAAGAAGGAAGCTCACTCTGGTACATGGTGAAGGCGAGAAACTGGTTTCTGAACATCTGGTACATCAGCCCATTCGGCCTGTCAACAGCAAGAAAAAAATCAGAGGGCACAATGAACAAAAAAAGACTTGAAAAACAAGTTAGTCATGGTAAGAAATTATCACGTTTGTTCACGTGACAACTTTAATAAGTCGCTGGGTTGGGTGGAGGAGGGTTTACAACACACTCCACGATCTTACTCAAAATTCAATTGTAACTCAAATTGGTCATGAACGCCTACGTGTTAGATACACACGATGTTTGATCACTCTTGCATCGAGGATTAAACATGAACTACATCAACTCGATGTATTGGGTTCTAAAAGTCGCCAAACTTCAAGTTCAACTTTTTACAGTGCCTGATGCAGTCTCAGGTCTTTAACAATGACGCTTGACCAGGAAAGCTGTAAAATAAATACGAAAAAAATCTATGTATAGGCATGCATTTGGCTGCCTCCTCTGAATTAAAAAACCGTGTAAATGAAACACATGACAGCTCTTAACGTTCGTGCCAGCTCTCCCAAAACGATGGGGGTTCAAAGTTTTCGGCGACCTGTGACGAACCCGGGTTTCCTCAAGCATAGGGAGTGGACGATCTCAGGCCATGTCACCAACAACAGTGGCACGGTCGAGCGGCAGAGCAGTTCGTTGCAGAGGTTCGCGGTTCGAATCTAGTGGCCGCCCTGGTTAATTTTTTGCGTGCGTTTAGTTTGCTGTCCTTCCCCCGCACCTCCGATTAGCACGGTTGGCTACGTACAGTGCGAAAGAAGTTCAACATACATACATTACAGTGGTTGTAATAACCACGATGATAACAATAGTTCTACACGCTGTCTCGCTTCACAGTGGAGGTTAAAGATCCCCCCAAAGTAATCCACAACATCAGATCATTATTACATGCCGGCACCATTATCCAAACTTGCAAGTTAAAAAAATAAATCCCCCGCAAAATACTCGATTGGGATTTTAAACGACAGTCATCGCCCCCCCCTTTCTGGCAGACGAACGCCCCAGAGGTCACTCGTGCAAACGAGAATATCCCAGTTCTCTCCAGTTGTCACCTGGTTAGCAGGGTGCATTTCGTTTGATCTGCCAAGTGTTACATTTGTCTGTAACAGGGCACCTGAGAGGGTATGGATAAGATGCAGCTCAAGGGAGCTCAGAACTAATTCTATGATGTCAACTTTCTCTGTCCATTTTCTGACACGCATTGATGTTACACCGCTTGCTGCTCTTTCTTGATCTCGCAAACAGAAGTTGAATCGGGAACTTGCAACCTTCTAACAAATGTTTTTCAGGGTTCCTGAAAAAAAGTCTTGAGACCCAGTGTGACTTTCCTCGCTAAAAGCAGGCGAAACGATACAATCACAACAACACCGTTCAACGTTGCGTCGGTGTCGGCGCCTGATCGTACCAGGTGAGCATCGTTCCCGAGAGGAAAGCAGACACGTAGTGGTGCGCCACCCACCAGCCTTTAATCCTGCCGGGGATGAACCACACAGAAAGTTGTGACAGGCTGCCATCGCCAGTTTGTACATCGATCATCCATAAATGCCACCATTCGTGTCTTACCGTCGCTGCACAGTGGTGCGTGTTGTTTGGTGTACAAAGACAAAAATAGAAAATGTCACATATTAAGAAATATATATCAGCAATTCATTCCTGTAATTTTCTGTCCTATGCTAAATTTTATCAAGTGCAAGACACTGTCAGTTTTTTATTTATTATTATTTGTTACGGGAGCGCTAACATCAGCATAAACCTATGTGTGTGTGCAATTTAGAGTTTGCCGTCATGTTCACATGCAGGCCCTTTTGGCAACCCACTGCTGGATGAGGTCCTCCCCACGCCGTGCGGGTCGTGACCATACTTCACCACGCTGCTCAGTGCGGCTTGGTGAAGGCGGGGAGCATATACGTCGGAGATGTTACTATGATAAAACAATGAATGTTGCTTCACTGCCCTTTGGTGACAAGGCAGCGCCTGCCAGCAACCTACAAATCAAACCAACGGAGGCTTTTAACGATTCGCAAACAAGCATCGTCTACCCAGAATTTCACAAAGGAGATACGGGGGTGGGGGGGGGGGTACCGGCGCGAATGGATCAGGCGTTGACTCTTAGCGAGGGGGGGTGGGGGTAGAACTCTTCAGTGAAAAGAAACCACAGGCCTGCGTGGGCCTGGCGAGCGGCGAGCGTGTGACACTCACCGAGAGCCATTGCTGATGAGAACGCTCTCCCGGATGGTGAGCGTGCAGTAGTACCACACGAGCAGAAAGTTCAAAATCTCGTCCGTCACCCTGAAATCACACGGCGGCAGGGGCCGGGAGCGGGGGAACAAAGCATTATTCCAACGTTTTAGTCGCTCTCTCGCGAAAGAGTCCGCGCAACGCCGCTTGTGGCTGTGTTAAAGAAGCAATGGTAAAGGCAGCGCTTGGACGTTATCGTTTACGTCTTTGACACGGTGGGAATTGTGTTCCGCACGCTCCTATGATGTGCTGGCTTACGCCGGTAACATTTCTGTTTTTATTCCAACGCACCGACGACATTTTACAGATTCACTCACACGTGTTCACACATATACTCGTACACACACATATACTCAGACAAAACAAAGATACCCCAGAGAGCCAATGACAGACTGTTGGGAGATATAGCACTTTCCCCAACAGTCCGTCACAGGCTATCGACCAGCACCTATGAAGGCCGGCACAGCACACGAGGGGGCTGATTTCTCAGCACCGCGCTCAGCCACCTTGGTCTCCCCAGTGCCGATGTTTACACACTGCGTTCGGTAATCATTTAAGACAGAGTCGACCTTGGGGAGTCCCAGGACAGGTTAAAATATTCACCACTGTTCTTGGTCATGAGAGAGCATTTAACTTGGGTCATCTGGCTGGTAGTCAGCGTGCTAACCGCTACACTACAGCTCCCCAAATAGAGCTATACTCATAGGCACACACGCTCACAGGCATGCGTGCACACACACGCACATTATGAGTTCATAAAGAAATGAACCACGTAGGGTCTTGTCACGAAGGCCTCAGGCAAAGAGCTGCTGCCAGTGGACTGTGCAAGCTCCCTGACACCGCACGGAAGATGCGCTCCACTTCACTCCCCTCCCACAGCGAGCCGGTGAATTGTCACCATGGGAAATAATTCAATAATTGTCTAATTTTGACCAACTCGTTTGTAATGTTCCTAACTTAAAATATCTATATAATTAATAGTTTCTTCCTTCATAAGCCCAATTATAACATTAGCACATAACCTGTTTACAATTTGCATAGAATGTAAATCAATCTGACATGTGAAATTCGAATAAAAACCAGTATCAAGTTTAATAACGATAAAATGTGGATATAGCATCTACATACAACCACAGCTCAAGATGGGGGGAATAATTTGATCGTAGGGAGAGAGAGAGAGGTGGTCAGTTACAGGCAGAGAGAGACGAGGAAGGTCTCGGGCCTGGACGTGGTGAACAGGGGCAGGGAGTCGACAGCTCGGGTGGCTGGTGGCAGCAGAGGGGAAGGGTAGCACCCACCTGTAGTTGACCAGGAATCGACAGGTGAAGGATGCGAGGATGAGGAGTGTCGTGAGATACAGCTTGAACTTCTCGTACTCGTCCTTGTAAGCAAATCTGCAGGGCATGGCCAACACGGGGTGGGGGGTTACTCTGCCTTGCATCACCGCTCCACATCAGTGAGGGTCATTGTGGCAGTGCATGTACGCGTGTACAGCCTCTTTGTCAATCCACCACTGGACGAGGGCCTCCACACGCCTGTGCTGGCCGTGGGAGTCGTACGACCATACTTCACTATGTTGGTCAGCGCGGGTTGGACAACAACGGATGTTCTGCTCAGCGTTCTACTGCTCACCATGTAGCACGGCAGCACTATGACAACCTGCTGATCTTTATGGCAGTGTTCAATTTAAATATCAAGTGACACAACATATCAGCTGTGCACTCCATGACGATTAAAATAGAGCACTGGATGAATATTGTGTCGGTCACGGGGGTTGTTTGACCGTACTTCTCCACGCCGGTCGGTGAAATGAGGAGCCAGGATCATAACGGATATCAATCGTCACTGATGTCATCCGAAGCCAAAATTAAACTTGGATCTCTCAGGTCATAGTTCACCGCCCTAACCACTGAGCCACCGCTCCCCAAGGTACGGGCGTCACAAGTGGTAAGCCGAGACGTCATTAACTATTAAAACTTTTTGATCACTGAATGGTTCGTCTGTCACCGAATAGCTATTAGGTAACAGATAGCTATGAGGTAACTATCAGAAAACTATTCATATGACAGTTGAAAATCTGTTCAACAGCATTGTTTTTTTAAATATGTAGTTCTCATCACGCCCCATGGTGTGAAATGTTAAATGCAGTCTCCAACTCTTATCATCCGCTATATCTCTCTGGCCTACATTTAGGCGCTATGCAGAAGGGCCATTGCCCGAAACGTTGGCCATTCCTATATTTTTTTGAAGGCCACAGTGCGATTGGCGAACGCAGTGAGCGTTTTGTTAATTGTGCTTGTGCATTACTGCCAACGTAGCATTAGCATCACCAAATAATTAGTTTAATTGTGAACATGCAGACTCATTTTCCCCATCTCGGGCTACTGTGGAATTTCCTGTGATGGGGGTGGTGGTGGGGAAGTTGAAAATATAAAAACCGATTCACATCTTGGCCAAACACATCGGCTTGGCGACCTTCCCAGCTCGTGTTGATGCAGGAATCTATGTGCTTTTTTGCCCAAAGAATGCGCACAAATATTGTCCCTTCGGCCGACATGCGACTGGGTGGCAGGTTAACACAGCAGGTGGGCACGTTAACACGGCAGGGGGACACGTTAACACGGCAGGGGGACACGTTAACACGGCAGGGGGACACGTTAACACACGTGAACACACAAACACACACGTTAACACGTTAACACACACACTAATACACACGTTTGTTAGTGTGTGGCGCGCCCCGCCACTAGGTGGCGCCTGTGCACAAAACGGGGACTGCCGAGCGATGGCGTGAGAGCAGAGGTGGCACTTTCAAGAGGCTGCTGCTGCTGCTGCTGTACAATGTCTCTGACCTCTAGGCCTTATGACCGGACCCCCAAAGTCCGTCCCCGCCTTATTAGGATTTACCATACCTTCCCATATGCAAATTCACTCGTGATACAATTCCGGAGTGAATAGGCTAGCAGTGGATGAATAAAATAGAAAATGCCAATAGGTTATACTTTAAAGATGGGGGGGGGGGGGGGGGAACAATAACTTGTCTCAAAATATTTTCGAGGGGCGGCTGCATAGGCTCAAGCACTCCCTTGTCTGCTGCCACGAGTCCTCTAGGCTTTCACCCCAGTACTAACCCTTTCCCCTTCCGAGACATCCGCAAGTTGCAGGGTGGGTGTTCCCAACACCCCTGAATCTCGGAGCATGCAAGCGGCTCGGCGTTCATTTTATTTAAGAGAGGCATAGCGCCGCTGTTTTTAAAGGCATTGTACTCACGGCAGAGAACTGTAACGAAACGACCGCGGCACTCTATGGCCGCTGGCGCCTAACTGTGCCACACGCCCTACCGCATGGCCTTGTGGGAGCTTTGGTACCCGATAAAGTTACGTTACATTCGTTTTTTCCTCTTGTTTTTGATTTGATGATGTACGCGTACGTTATCGGAACGGAATCGGAAGAAAAACTGACGACGAACAGTGTGTACGTCATTGGAACGGGAAAGGGTGAATAAAGCTTTCCTTTCAATGCAGTGGCATGCGGCTGATGCGCTCGGCATGTTTTTCCCCACTGGTGGCGACGGTGCATTACAACGGCGGCATGCTAGGACGTGGAAGTGATGCAAGAACGCGTGTCGTTGTTCACAAAGCCCACGAGCACCCCCCCCCCCACCCCCCCGTGAATGGCGATTTTGCGTGCGGGTTTCCGGCGAATGTAAAAGAGGGTGTGGCAAAAGAGGAGGCGGGTACTTGGCCTGTTTACTCAGTAACGTCACGTTCACGTTTCCCAGCACCAAGTTCAAGTACAACCTGTGGAACAGAATACAAATTGACACTGTCAGTAGGGTTGACAATGGCGTAAAAGACAGCTTTCACAAATGCCAACCCCTTCCACCTAAGCATCATTGTGGGAGATGGGGAAATATCACGAGTGGGTCTCTCTGAAAGTTATGCCTAAAGGGGCTCAAGGTTTGGGGGGTGGGGGGACCCTGGGTGTAGTTGTAACTAAGTAAACCCCAAGGCATGTGAGCCTCAAGGAGGCCAATTGCACCCACAGCAGGGTCGTGAAACCCTGGTTAACCTGTTGATGACTTAAATCGAATAAATATAACAGCAATGTTTGTGAAATAGCGCCACCATGTGCTGGGGCATCTCAGAGCGCTTTACATCACATCCCGTCTCAAACATGTGAAAGGGGGCACCCCCAGTGGCAAATGTCCCTGTGGGTACAAAGTGACTCTGCACCTGGCCTGCAAGAGGGCATTAGTCTGGCAGTCGTGGGCGATGATTACTATGTATAATCCCAAATAATGCTGATGTAAAATACTAAATGATCATGGATATGTAAAATCCCAAATAATGATGGCTATGTATCATACCAAAATGATGATTGCTATGTATAATAATGGTGGTTATGTGTAACCCCAAATAATGATGGAGATGTTTGATCCCAAATGATGATGACTATGTATACCAAAATGATGATTGCTATAAATAATCCCAAATGATTCTCAAGTGTGAGAGTGGCATCCACAAACTGGGTATTGCGTGGCTACTCTCCCGGTGGTGTCATTTTCCAGCCACCAACCACAAACAGGGCATCAACGGCTTTGGCTAGGATGACGTCTTGATCTTTAGAGGACTGCTTTCGAGAGGATGCAAGCCAAAAATAGCAGCTCTTAACTTGTTGGTATATACTTAGCAGGGACGTGCGGTCAGAGATTGCAGGGGAGGCAGAGCCTCACCTGTCATACTCCAATGAAAAATAATACAAATATTAAGATATTTCCACTGATCTGTTATAAATGTCATTTCTGTATGATTACAATCCTTTTTATAGTAAAAATTGCCAAATTTGCAGAGCTCCACTGCAAATACAAGGATAGACGATAGGTGAGGCAGCGTTTAGCTCAGCCTCCCTTCTGATTGCGCAACCCCTCAGAAACTGGATGGAGCGCAGGCAATAAGCACGTGCCTGTTACTATCTCTCTGTCACCAATGTAATGATTACATTGGTGACAGAGAGACAGTAATGATTACATTGGTGACATATTTTGACTATAAAAATGACTGGAATCATACAGAAATTACATTTATAACACAAAGCAGTGGAAAAATCTATATATTTTTCGTAACAGCTATATTCATTGGAGTATGACAGGTGAGGCTCTGCCTCCCCTGACCGCACGTCCCTGATACTTGTGTTATGTCACACCAACATACGATGTGAGAATGCTACAGCAGAGCATCTGATAACAGGCATGGTTCGATACATTCAAGTCTACACCAGGCGTGGACAAAAGATTAAAGTTAATAGTCTACGGGATCATCATCATCATCACCTTCGTCAGCCGTTGTCTATCCACTGCTGGATGAAGGCCTCACCACCCCATCACCAGTTCTGCTGACTTCCATCTCACTCCTACACAGAAACTCATCTAATTGCTCAATCTCCATGGTGGAGATGTGAAATCGTTGATTATAAATACAAGTTGACAAATATTGGACACAAATGTATGTGTGTAAGTAGAGCGTATTTCACAGCATACGTAGCCAACCGTGATAATCAGGGGTGTGAATTACCGAATGTGGAGACTCTCACAGAACCATTAACGTACAATTTCCTTAAAATATTGTGGCGCTTAAAGCTTACGCTGCAAGCATAACTGCTCAAAATAAGCCGTGTTTGTCTCGTAAAAGCCAAAACCTACGAGGAATTTTACTCAAGAAATTACTCCAACGATGTGACGTCATTCACAGGGTTACGGAAGCTGTGCATCCAGATTTTTGTTCGTTGTTTTGTCATGGGTTCGTGACAAGGAAAGCAAAGCGAAAAGGATCTCTCTCACACATCAGGAAGTGTTATCTTTTTGACAGTGTTGGGCCAAGGCGTTAAGCCAACACTCTGTGGAACGCGTTCAGATTTCTCTAATCGTCATTGCCTTTTTGGCCTGACATGAATTTTAAAAAGCAACATAAAAAACACATGCGTACAAACTATTCTAAACTTAGTTTCAACATGCTGTTAAATACTCAATTAAAGCAATAATTTATTAAAATAACCTGTAAACAGGATTAGTAACTTCCATTAAAAAAAACATAATTTTCATCATTATCATCATCAGACATCCACTGCTGGATGAATTCCTGACAAAACCTCTGCCAATTGCAATACAACTAATGGGCTAAAGTTTCCTCCGGCTAGTTAGGAGCCTTGTGAAAGGCTATTTCGACAAAGGTCATGAGTGCATCCTTCCTGTTCCTCATACCCATTCTTTTTCGGCAGGAAGGCTTCCATGTCAAAGAAAATCGCCTGCCGTTCCTCAATCGCCGCTTCCACCTTCTCCACCACCTCCCTCTCCTCGGGGAACTTGGGCGGTTTACAGCTGCAGATGACAACGGAGCGGGTGACACAGACCCACACACAGCGGTGAGCGCTCACAAAACCAACCACCCCCACGCGCGCCACGTTCACCGCAAAGGATACGCCTGCTGACACTGCCACGAAACAATATTCTTAAAAAATATTGTTTTTATCAGTGGCGGAGTACGGGTCCAAAGGCCAGGAACGCCTAGCCCCTAGTAACAAACAACACTATTAATGTATTCCAGATATGGTAATACGAAACTGGGTAAAGATACTCTGGAAAGGAATTCCATGGTCAGTTCATGCCAGCAGTGCGTGGAAAGAAGCAAACAGAGATGTGTGTTAATCTGGAGTACGGTGGCTGAATACAATATGGAAAAGTCAATATGGACGAATTAGTCAGTCTAGGGCCTATTTGACCATTGTGCAGGTTGGTGATGGCGAGGGCTCAGGCACGGTTCAGATAACACTCCCCACTGATGTTCGGCATGGCTAAGAACCAAACGCAGGTCGCCACATTGCGCTAACCAATGGCCCACCGCTCAATTTCCCCCGAACTCGTTCTCATCGTTATTTTTGTCAATTCACTGGTGGATTAGCGCCTCCGCAAGCCGTGTTGGTCATGGGCGCCGATTCTCCACTCTTCACCGCGCTGGTCAGCGCGGGTTGGGGAAGCTGGGTAGCACAAATGTTGGGAGCGTAAAATTCTGGTACAACAATGGATTTTGTTGCACCGTCCGCTGCAGACAACTTAATGTGAATTTTTTATTAAGTAGTAAAGTAATGTAAATGCATGGTTACAGTTAAGAAATGTAACGTTCCACGTTTTGTACAGCGTTTGTGATATGTGTGGTTGTGCTTAAGATACCTTGTAAAAATATAAAACCGGATTGTACATCAAAGCAGTTAATACAGCATTTCAAGTTACTGTGCCAAAATGTTCCACCTTGAAGTCAACATGCTTCTCTGAAAACTTTGTTTGACAAAAACAATCCGTGAATGAGGCTTTAAAAAGATCACCAACCACTAACAGTATAAAACAAACACTAAGCACTTGGAATAAGTTGTCAATTATGATCCAGGACACCACCACACATGCGTGGGTGTTAGTGCTTGTGTTTATTGTACAATAGTAACGGTTACCTGAATCAGTCCTGGGCCTCCCCGAGGTCAACTCAGCCTCAAATGAGCACCTTGTGCGATGCGTAAACATCACCACTGGGTAGACAAAGGCGGCCGGGCGTGGTGTGCCACGGTGCCGGCCTTCATAGGTGCTCGCTAACAGCACTTGCCCCAAAAGTCTGTTAAGGCTACACGGGGGATCTTTGTTCTCTTTTGTTATTGTACAGTGCGCATGCGTGTAATCCTGCTGTGCAGGTGAGAGGCCAGTACTGTTTGAGGGACTGCAGGAGGTCCTTCATGCCTCGCTTCTGCTTGTCGATGGATTCGCAGCAACTCGATTGCAGCCTCGTGACCTCGTCCAGTTTGTGCTTATACAACTTGTGCGTCTCCTGTGGGACCAAACAAGACAACCCACCATCGTGTTAGGAAGCAACACCTGTCTCTCACCTCTGTCTTTCACCTCGATCCTTCACCTGTCTCTCACATCTCTCATCTGTCTCATCTGTCTCTCACCTGTCTCTCACCTCTCTTATCTGTCTCTCGCCTCTCTCTCGCCTCTCTCTCACCTGTCCCTCACTTCTCTCTCACCTGTCCCTCACATGTCTCTCACTTCTCTCTTACCTGTCTCTCACCTGTCTCTCACTTCTCTCTTACCTGTCTCTCTCACCTGTCTCTCACTTCTCTCTCACCTGTCTCTCACTTCTCTCTCACCTGTCCCTCACCTGTCTCTCACTTCTCTCTCACCTGCCTCTCGCCTCTCTCTCACCTGTCTCTCACTTCTCTCTTACCTGTCTCTCACCTGTCTCTCACTTCTCTCTCACCTGTCTCTCACCTGTCTCTCACCTGTCTCTCCTCTCTCTCACCTGTCTCTCGCCTGTCTCTCTCACCTGCCTCTTGCCTCTCTCTCACCTGTCTCTCACGTGTCTCTCACCTGTCTCTCACCTGTCTCTCCCACCTGTCTCTCGCCTCTTTCAACGCCTCTCTCATTGTCAGCGGCGTGGTGCAACTGGCGAGGGCCCTGGTGCAAGGAATTAAATGCGGTCCCCTTTCTAATTCCACACCACTCTTTGTAGCTCGGCACTCTAGGTCACTTCGGTCTGTGGGCACTGTTGCACTTGCACCGCCTGTACACTCAATAGCTACACCGATGCCCACAGACTCGCATGATGCCTAAATATTCACCAAGGAACCCACCAATACATGGACATCCATAGCCTCACATCGAGACAAACGGACTTGCATGGAGATCCATAGCCTAACATAGGGATACAAAAGATTCAAACAGACATAACGACTTAAGACATCCACAACTTCACAGAGAGAGCCACAGAGAGAGCCGCAGGCACAGCTGGAATGGACATTGGTGCAAGGAATTAAATGAGACTTCCCGTCCAATTATTCACCTCTTCATAGGCCGGGGCTTAGGAACCTCTGGGCCCATGGGTCCTAGAAGAGTTGCACTGCCTCCAATCTTCACAGCTACACCACTGTCCAGATATTACACACCAATGATGTTAGCCTTAGCCAGGAATAAAACTCAGGTCACGGGTTCATAGTGCAGTGCTCTTATCACCGTGCCACTGCTCCCCCAACCGTTCTGGACCAGTTTCGAGATTCAGTGCCTCATCAGCAGTCAGGGTTGCTTAAACCAACGCTGGGAAACTGCCAGATGCTTGTGTTTTATGGCAGTGGCCTTCTCTCTTAGAAATGGCTCTTAAATCGACGCCAAAAAAACTACAACACACAACATTGCAATTGGCGTCGTTGCGGATAATATATAAATAAGAACGATTAAGTAGACAATACAAAACACCAGCGCAAGCAGATGAAAGGGGTAAATGGACAGACGGGGCAGCGCCGTCCGGTCTCTCCGTGCGCCACCCTCAGGACACGTGGAGAGATTGCGTAACCCACCAGCCTCGTCACGCCCGACGTTGCGATTCCATACCCAGTGCCGAGGGTCGTGGCCACAATGAACCCCACGCTGCTCCGACAAAAAGCCCTCCCTATCCGCCAGAGGGGGTTCTTGCTTTGGAACGTTCTCGTATCTAGAACATCACAACCCCGCGCCCCCCGCTCAACGTTGTGTGTTCTAGAGCCGAGCGACTAGAGGCAGGAGATAACCAAACCCCACCGAGGGACTCACGTACGCCGCACTCTATAAAGGCAGATTGCACTCCACTCCCAAGCGTGCAGAACGACTAATTTGAAGTGCTGGACCATAATTGCAAGAACCAAGACAGAAAATCGGCAACAACGAATGCAAAAAATGAATTTGCAATTAATTCCCATCGTTAACAACACGTCCAGGGTCACCCAAAGCGGAGATGGAGCGAGATCAGTTCGTGCGCAGGAGAATGAGGTGGTAACATCACTGCAACGCGAGTGATGGGGGCGGTGTGGGGGCTTCATCCAACAGTGGATTGATCATGGGTTATGATGGTAATTAATCAATGGTGACGAGGTGCGATCGGGGAGGAGGGGGGGGGACCCTCGGGCCTACTGGCGCTACCCGTAAGGGCGAGCATCGGCGGGCAGGGTGATTAGGCGAGGTGGGCACCCCCTCGCCCCCGAAAGACCACGCGTCACACCTGTAACGTCTTGTACTCCGTCTCCAGCTCGCCCCACTCGTCCATGCACTGCTTGAGGGACATCGCTGCGGGCGTCGTGAAATTGCCGAGCGAGAAACCCGGCGGTCGATCGCCAACGCTGGCGGAGAACGGCGAGATGCGTGCCCGCCAACCACCCCCCCCCCCCCCCCGTCGACCAATCAGCGCGCGACACGGGCGCCACGTGACCGGCCTGGCTGTCAACACGGAGAGCGAGGAGTGCGGTGTCAGATCAGAGGTTTTTTTTTTTTAAACATCCAGCCACGCTCAATTCACTGCTGGGCTAATCAGAATATTTTATTTACACTGAAGGAATCCGATGAGCTATGAAGCGCTTTACTCGCAGATGTCCAGTCGGGGCGGGTAAGAACGTTACAACAGCAAACACTACGAAAAAACACGAAAGTAAACAAATGACCCACACAAATACGACACTAAATCAGCCCCAATACAACGAGGCAATGTCCCACTGACGTATTAAACTTATTTTTCAAAAGCGACCTGGCTACGAAACGAATGATAGCTTAAACATGCCTGGAGGAAATTGTAATAATTATTGTCACTTTGCACGCCTGACTGAAAGGGTGACTGAATGCTGAGGTTGCTAGCTGGCATCTTAGCGTTTTTGAGGGTGGTAGTAGTCACATTGGAGAAACCAAACGACATGTCTCTGACCGCATCCGTGAACACAAAGCAGACCTTAAACACGGTAGGACCAACACCTCGGCCGTTTTGAATTATATAAATTTAAAAAGAGGGATGACATTATCATCCTCTCTGCCGACAAGGGCAATGCCACTGTCATCATGGATAAAATAAAATATAACAACGAAATTCAAGAATTACTCAACGATGGCAGCTATACAAAAATAAAAAGAGATCCCACCAACAGCCTCGTCATACAAACCAACAAAATCATTTCTGATTCAACCGCATTAATTTATCAAACCAAACAGTTCTCGTTGAAACCTTCTGCTGCCAGACCACAAAGATTATACGGCTTACCAAAAATACATAAAGTAGATACACCCCTTCGTCCCATCGTCTCTACTATCAACTCCCCCACCTACAAACTGGCTCGTTTTCTGCCGCCTTTTCTGCGGCCTTTCACTGGAAAGACCACCTCTGCGGTACAAAATTCTACTCACCTGGTATCGACAATCACGGATATTTCCCTGTCCCCAGACGACCTGCTTGTCAGTTTTGATGTAGTTTCCTTATTCACCAAAGTTCCTGTACCTGACACCATCGCAATCATTGAAGACTTGGTTCATCAAGGACTAAACACGGAGGTACCCCCCCCTGGCGAGACACTGCTTAACCAATACATAATTCACTTGGAATGGAACTTTCTACAAATAAACTGAGGGCACCCCAATGGGCTCCCCCCTATCTCCGGTTGTAGCCAACATTTTCATGGCGAAATTTGAGACTGACGCCATCCAGACTGCCACTCTGCGCACAACCTTATGGAAGAGGTACGTGGATGACACTTTTGTCATCTTGCCACATGGCCGGCCTGCTCTAGACCAATTCCTCGACCACATCAATTCCATACACCCAGCCATCAGATTTACCATGGAAGTCGAAAAAGATGGCAAGCTACCTTTTTTGGATGTCCTAATAAAAAGAGACCTGATTGTTCAATGAGCCACTCTGTCTACAGGAAAGCTACCCATACGGATGCTTACCTGAAACCGGATTCCCACCACCATCCATCCCAGAAGAATTCTCTCATCAAGACTCTGTATCATAGAGCCCAATGCATATCCGACCAGGAACACATAGCCAGTGAACTCAAGCACGTACACCAAGCTCTTAAGACTATTGGTTACTCCGACTACACAATCCGCAAAGCTATCACTCCAACCATGAAGAAGGACCCTCTTGAGGAGCCATTCAAAACCATCACTTTACCTTACATTGCGGGGATCACAAAAAAGATCTCCAAAATCTTGAATAAACATAAGATCCAGGTCCGATTCAACACATTACATAAAATCCGTGATCTGGTTCCGTCTGTAAAATATGTGATTCCGGACATACAGTACCCTGGCGTCTACAAACTAATTTGCCTCTGTGGTAGTAATCACATCATAGAAACCAAACGACAGGTCTCGGACCGCATCCGTGAACACAAAGCAGACCTGAAACACGGTAGGACCAACACCTCGGCCGTGGCAGATCACTGTTATAATTCAGTAGGCTCACATGACATTGACTTCTCCAAGACAGAGGTTATCTGCAAGCCATCTGGCTACCATGAGAGATTCGTTTATGAGGCTATCCACATATACAAACACAGATACAATTTCAACCGAGAAGATGGATTCTGGCTTAGCAATCATTGGAAGGATTCGATAAACCATTCCGGGTCTTAATTGATTGTTCACGCTTACGGTGGATTTCAGCCCACATCCATTATTTTCGTCTCCCCCCTCCTCTTTTCCGAACATAGATGGACTCGTCCATCTGAATAACTGCCAAATCGCTCTCCGTGGTGCTAACGTTAAAAAAACGCCACTTTTTTCAAATTTTCTTGCTGTGGTTTTCACACCTGATGATGATTGCTTGTGTTGCAGTCGAAACGTCGTGATAATTGTATTGTTTCCCTTCTACGTGACTTTACCGAAATCACTAAGATTATGAATCCCTGCAGTGACGAAAGCTTTAAATAAAAATTCAAAAGTTCGAGTTATGTTTATCCACTGCTGGATGAGCGCCTCCCCCACACCACGACGGTTCGTGACCATACTTCACCACGCTGGTCAGTGCGGGATGGCGAAGGCAGCGGGGCCACGTGGACGTGGGAGCATAGGAGTAGAGTACAACCATGCGGCGTGGCTGCTGCAGCAGCAGCAGTGCCCTCTGCTGCCCGCCACGTTGCTGAGCCGAATGTAATGTATATTACTACACGCTTTTTATTATTTTATCACACGCTTATTATTATTTTATTACACGCTTTTTATAATTTTATCACACGCTTATTATTATTTTATTACACGCTTTTTATTATTTTATCACACGCTTATTATTATTTTATTACACGCTTTTTATTATTATAATTTTATTATTACACGCTTTTTATTACCTCACTGTTGTTGTCGTTGTATCCTCAAATCTTGTAACTACATTTTTACCCACTTCCCAATGTGGTATCGACTGCAAACTTGGTATACTTATTCACACTGATGACAATACTATATTATATCATTCAAAATAAAAAAAACATTATACTGGTAGGAACCTCCTGATTATACCAGCCCACAGGGGATGATTGTGTTCGTCCGTCGTGCATCCAAAAATGGGAAGGGTGGGGCTGGGTGGAGAGGGGAGGGTGGGGAGGAGCTGGGTGAGGAGGGGAGGGTGGGGAGGGGCTGGGTGGGGAGGGGAGGGTGGGGAGGGGCTGGGTGGGGAGGGAGGGGCTGGGTGGGGAGGGGAGGGTGGGGAGGGGCTGGGTGGGGAGGGGCTGAGTGGGGAGGGAGGGGCTGGGTGGGGAGGGGAGGGTGGGGAGGGGCTGGGTGGGGAGGGGCTGGGTGGGGAGGGGAGGGTGGGGAGGGATGGGCTGGGTGGGGAGGGAGGGGCTGGGTGGGGAGGGTGGGGAGGGGCTGGGTGGAGAGGGGAGGGTGGGGAGGGGCTGGGTGGGGAGGGGCTGGGTGGGGAGGGAGGGGCTGGGTGGGGAGGGGCTGGGTGGGGAGGGTGGGGAGGGGCTGGGTGGGGAGGGAGGGGCTGGGTGGGGAGGGGCTGGGTGGGGAGGGAGGGGCTGGGTGGGGAGGGGAGGGTGGGGTGGGGCTGGGTGGGGAGGGGAGGGAGGGGCTGGGTGGAGAGGGGAGGGTGGGGAGGGGCTGGGTGGGGAGGGGCTGGGTGGGGAGGGGCTGGGTGGGGAGGGAGGGGCTGGGTGGGGAGGGGCTGGGTGGGGAGGGAGGGGCTGGGTGGGGAGGGGCTGGGTGGGGAGGGAGGGGCTGGGTGGGGAAGGAGGGGCTGGGTGGGGAGGGGAGGGTGGGGTGGGGCTGGGTGGGGAGGGGAGGGAGGGGCTGGGTGGAGAGGGGAGGGTGGGGAGGGGCTGGGTGGAGAGGGGCTGGGTGGGTGGGGAGGGAGGGGCTGGGTGGGGAGGGGAGGGTGGGGTGGAATGGGTGGGGAGGGGCTGGGTGGGTGGGGAGGGAGGGGCTGGGTGGAGAGGGTGGGGAGGGGCTGGTCACCCCGTGGTGCCCTTATAAAACTCAACGTTTCACCTACTCACGCCGGCTTGTGCCCACCCTCAGTCGGGCATATTGTGCTGAACACACCACGTGGTGCCGCCGTTGACCCTGGCCATTGACCGAGCAACCCAACGTTCCTACCAGCTCCCTCCACAGGAATGTGTTTTTTTATATGTTATGTTTCACCTTGGCTGTAAATGACCACAGTCCCTTACGTTATTGGCAAGCTTCGGGGCCACTTCCTGGAGTCGTGGAGTTATTCCGTTACTAGCACGGTACATTTCATTAAAGCGTGTTTTTAAAAAAAGGTTTTTTGAATTACTTTTTACAGAGTGCCGTCTTCACACTTGAGGCGCTTGACAGCTCTCAACACGGTGACAGGAGAGTGGGGCGATGCAGATGGCGGGGGGCGTGCTACGGGGCAGTGAGGAACGAGTGGCAGCGATAGAGCGATGCGCTTCGGGATTACGAAAGGGAAGGCGGGGAGATTGGGCGATGGAGAGAAGACGTGAGGCTTGAGAAAGGAATGGACCGATGTTAAGGAGCAGTGGTGAGTCTATGGGGAGCAAGCAGTGTAACGTCGATGCTGCAGTGTTGGGTCTGTGGGTAGCGCTGAGTTTGTGGGCAGTGTTGAGTATATGGGTAGCAGTGTTGAGTCTATGGTGCAGTGTTGAGTAGATGGGCAGTGTTGAGTCTATGGGTAGCAGTGTTGAGTCTATGGGTAGAAGTGTTGAGTCTATGGGCAGAAGTGTTGAGTCTATGGTGCAGTGTTGAGTCTTTGGTGCAGTGCTGAGTCTATGGCAGGGGTGGGCAAATTTTTTTACTAGCGGGCCACAATGGGTTCTAAAATTTGACAGAGGGGCCGGGCCACTCCCGGTCAAAGTGCGCCATCTAATGGGGAAATGGGGGCATTACAGGAGAAAGGTAACATTTTATTTAATAATATTAATATTTGGACAAGTTCGGCGGGCCGGATTAAAAAGCCCAACGGGCCGTATACAGCCCGGGGGCCGTACTTTGCCCATGTCTGGTCTATGGCCAGTCTTGAGTCTATGGTGCAGTGTTGAGTCTATGGGCAGTGTTGAGTCTATGGGCAGTGCTGAGTCTATGGGCAGTGTTGAGTCTATGGGTTGCAGTGTTGAGTCTATGGGTTGCAGTGTTGAGTCTATGGGTAGCAGTGATACTCAATGTACCGGGGAAGTTGATTCCAGTGGAGGGGTGCAAGGAGGGAGAAGGACCGAACACGGGGACTGGGCACAGGGAGAAGGAGGCACACAGAGAGAGAGAGGACGAGAGGGGACACTGCAGGAGGAAGCGGAGTGGAGCACCTGGAGAAAGCCCCCTGCAGACAATGAGGAGGATAACACTCTCAGGTCAACACAGGCAGGTTTACAGACCCATTTGCTGTCCTGCTATCTCCTGGCCACAAACATAACAGCTATATTTTGTGTTTTATGTACTCTGGATGCTGTCAGTAACAGTAAACTCGAGTTGGTCACTGGCACATCACACTGACGATTTTTTTTATTGAATTATTCTGCTCATGGTCAATTGTGTTTACCTCAATAAACAAATACTGAAAAAAAATAGTAACGTATGACAGCCGTTAAGCATGGTGTTGGTGAGTCACCCATTCAATCACTATCCAGGGTCAAACGCTGCTTAGCTTCCGAGAGCTGGCGCATTCTGGATGATCCGGTCGAACTCAGAAGATGACAATGGTTGGAACAGATATCCTTCTCGGCGGTGTGGATTTCCGTTACTGTGCACGCCTCTCCAACGCGTTTGCTGGTTTCGACCACGTGTTGTTGTTCGGCGTGATGTCCGATCCCTCTTCAGGAGCTGAAGTTCCTTACGGAAGCTTAACACCGTAGCAGTAGACTTTTGCGACCAGTTATTCGTAAAGGTTTTTTTTGGGTTAGATCGTAGCAGTAGACTTTTGCGACCAGTTATTCGTAAAGGTTTTTTTTGGGTTAGATCGCGTAAATATAGGTGTCGTTAACCCACCACCACCACCCGATACAGCATATTGGTAAAGTTTTGACACGTAAACACAACCTGCAAATTAGTTAGCACTTCAGTCTACTGGTGTGTTGGATAGTACGACGCTTCGCTGGTAATTACATCCAGCTTCATTGAGCACTTGCTACGGGAGCTCAAGTTTCTCAACAAACTCCCACCATGGTGCGAAACGTCCAACCGAGTTACCCGAAGAAGCACAACGTTCTCCCTGGAACCTTGGTCCTTGAAGCGCCTGAGCTTGTCAGAGTGAAGAGTCAAAACTGAATTTCCTGAAGAGGCTCCCACAACGTTGAGCGGGAACCATCGGACACCATGGCTGAGAACGACGGGCAAGTTACCGTACGATCCAAAAACACATCGGAGAGTCCACCTCCTTGTCCACAGATGATTTTATTAACCGGTTGTTGCACCGTCCAGCCGTAGCCGAGTATCAATGCGACAGCGAGGATTGCGGTGGTGGCGACTGCGCTGTTTCGTGGTTTCGCCCACGCTCCGTGTTTCCCCGTCACCTCTCTGCTAGACGCTGGGTTTCGAAGCAGAAGTGGGAGAAATGATTTGACCGGCAAAACGCTGGAAAAAAAACATTCCCTTGCAGCACCCGTCCGGACACGAGTCAACAGACTCACCGAGGGTTTTTATAGATTAGAGAATATAATTGTTATTCTATCTTTATATATGTGATCCAATTCTAAAATTGTCCTGGTCTTTGGTTGGGATATTATTTTAAGCCGGCCAGTAAAAATGTTTATCTCTAGTTACATTTTCCAGTGCCTTTTATTTCCGATTGCACTCGAGGCACAGTTGGTGTGGGCAGGGGAAGTGGGTGTGGATCACGCACAGCGATACGAGCCCAATTTGACTCCTGGCCATGACTAACATCAGTGGCGAGTGATAAATGAACTGGTCGTGATGCCCCCTCCCCCCATCAACGTTACTAACCTGCACTGACCAGCGTGGTGAAGTATCATAGTTCATTTATTTGGTATAGCCCTGTGAGCCATTCGGCTCTTGAATCGGGTGCAACCGCAACAAACAAAACAAACAAAAAACATGAACAAGAAAACATCTTAAGGGAATGATTTAGATGACAGGAGCATGTATGGTGACCTGCGAAGCACACGGGGTCCCCTAACTAGTAACGATTTAATCGCTTGCAATTTGATTTATAGAGCGCCTTCATTCAAGGCGCTGGACATAGTAAAAATTCGATTTTTGGACCAAAAGTCGAATATTATTCACAAAAGCCTACGGTGGACGATTGTACAAGGGGCTGCAAGTCATGTGTTTATGTTTTATCACCCAATGAGTCCATTGGACACCTGGTTACATTTGCCATTATTGCTTTTTACTATGTATGGCCAGTCTTATTACACAGTCACTCATTACTGCGTGTGCACACATGCAAGTGTTGCAGCAGACGCTGACAACTAGTGGAATAAACCAGGGTGTAGTAATTTCTCTCTAGATTTTCCGGAAGGCTGCAAACTCGGCTGGTTCAGAGTAAGGGGTGTAAAGGCGCAAAGTGCATCTATCACTCATAATAATCCTATATCACTGTGCCATATATTCCCATAATTATATGGACCGGTTTGTAGGAATATTGGTTACAATGAGGACACAACGAGATGAGGTGGACGTGGTGTGAAAATATTTTTTTTAAGAACAGTCCCGAATTATTCCGACTGAAATTATGTGCTGGGTGCAAACTATGCAGATTCATTGATCAATGTCGACTCTTAATCTTGCTCTCTCTCGATACATGTACGAATTATAAAACGGCGATACATGTCATATGTAATGGGTTCACTTGAACTCCAGTAAGCCACGATTGGCTGCTACATTATTGCCACAGTGTAAAAATAAAATAATCGATTCGAATCGGGACCCTGATAACGTGACCATTTGAATCACAAGTGGACAGGGTGACTCATGGCACCCATAAAGAAAAACCCCAACCCCCAGTCAAAAGGCATTCACACTGCCATAAAACAGAAATGCATCTATGAACCATGTTCAAAAGTCATTGATAAGTAGACATAACTTAAGCAACACAACTTACGAAACAGACATTTATACTGTATCTCATGACGAGCGTAGGGGCCTGTGCGTAGTGTGGGGCGGTCGGGTGGTGGTGGTAAACGCACTACCGTCACGAACGTGGCAACGCGAGTTCAATTCCCTACCACGGTTAACATCGGTGGCGATTATCTGAACTGCTACCTGGGCAGCTTCTCCTAGGTCGACTCGGCTTTAAATGAGTGCCTGGAGCGGTGTGTAAACATCAGCAGAAGACAAGAGCCAGCCAGGCATTGTAATGGCCACGGCATCCCTTCATAGGTGCTGCTCGCGAACAGCACTTGCCCCAACGCTGTGTGCACATCTCACTGTGGAGAAATCTTCAAAGCAGCGGACAGACATTTTTAAAAGGAATATTGCATTACACAACTTTTAGCAAATATTGGTACTGGCAATTACAGTACTGTGTAGGTGTTTGTGTTCGCTAAAACTGTTAAACGTTAGGTGTAATTGCATGATATTTACATATTTAGATATAAAAAAATATATTGGTTACTGTGTAATCAAATTATTATGGCTTTAGCATGGGAGGTGACACATCTCCATGTACAGCACGTGTATAGTCACAATGATCAGCAGTGATGCCCCCCCAACCCTCCCAGTTCACCCAGCCACTCAATTACACTCGGCACATGCAGATTCCATGGTATTAGAAGGCCCCTCATCCAGCAGCAAATTGACAAAAAAGACTGAACACGTGAATTGGCGGACGGAGCAGTGGTGCAAGGGTGAGTGCACTGCGCTATGAAGACAGGGACCCAAGTTCGATTCCTGCACGAGACCCCCTTGTTGCATCTCACAATCGACAAATGAGTCAGACAAGATCGAAGCCGGCCAGGCGGTGAGCCAGCGCCAAAAGCAATCCTCCAAGCTCTGCAGTCCTGTATATATTGATATGGTTTGAGCCAATGTTCACTCTATGTGCATGGCTCCACTTGTGCAGCATCTTGAGATGCGGTTTCATCTAAAAAATGTAAACTTGTACTGCATTGGCCATATTATTCCAAAAGATTTTAGGGTTGGCGAATGCCCCCCCCCACCCCATACCGCCCCACACACGAATGTGGCTATCGTGAAAGGCTCTCTCTTGTGTGCGAACATTGAAAAGCTTTGCAGTCTCAACACCGTGGGAGGACGAGGCTGAATTTAACAAAATAAAACAAAACAAGGCATTTGAAAAACGGTTGGAGGCGTGACCGCGGAAATGCGCAATTTCTGCTAACTCCGAAAAAGTGGGAAGGAAACGGAGTTCCGAGTTCCACTTTTCTTATCGAAGCGGATTGCACTGAGACATAGGCATGCGGTTCCCAGTGCCACGAGACGTGGGCATGGGGTTCGCACAGTCACTTCAGCGTTCGGCACCCGAGTGTGGGCGGCATGCGGTGCTGGGGAGACCGGCGAGGGGTTTGTGGATTGTAACAGGGATGTGATGTGCTGTGAAATGCAATGTTATAAAGAGCTGCAGGTCAGGTGAGTGCCACATGTCACCGCAGGGGTCAAGTTACAGCCAAGGGTCAAGTTAGATGTATGCAGAGGCCAGGTTACAGCCAGGGGTCATGTATTTAAAGTAGGGGTCAAGTTACATCCAGAGGGTCAGGAAAGAAAGATGTCAGATAAACCAGGGTCATGGCCACTCAACGTACATCGCATACTCCTATCCTAGCTTAAACCTAGTGGTGTCGGAGGGATTATTATGGCGATAAGTTAGTGAACACACTAGTTCCAATTAACACGTCTTCACGACCGCGCGTTAGGTCTGCGAGCTAAATCCTGTGGCCACGTTTCGGAGCCGAGCAAAAGGAAATGTGGCTCATTCAATAGATCTTCTGAGAATGACACGCACACCCACGCTGAACGTTTTGTGCGAAATGACATCACCATGAACGACCTCCACACTCAGCCCAGGACCCCTTTTTACAATTGACCGAGAAGATGGTCGGGGCACAATGGAAGGCGACAGCAACACAAACCGCCAACAAACGGCACGCGCGCTGCAGGGAGGGGGGCGGGTCACACGTTCATTTGGCCCTGCAGGCCCATCATGGCCGGGTCGCACGACAGCTCCTCGTGCATCCTGTCTAGCGCCTTGATGTCCCGCAAGTGTCGCTCGGCCGTGTGGCCCACGAGTGTCAGGTAGAAGCGCACGGCCACGAACACGAAGGCGCAGAGCGCGAGGAGCGTCACGCACATGGCGGCCGACGCGGCCATAATGCCGCCCCCGTTGTTCAGCGGCAGGAACTTGACCCAGCAGATGAGGCCGAGCTCCAGCAGAAAGAGCACCGTGCCCACGGCCGTGGAGAGCAGCCAGGCCACCTCCACGTAGCGGTGCAGGCGCGGCAGCGGCAGGCCGGCCGAGTGGCGCGGCCTGTCCGGTCTCGCCGGCATGTCGGCCGCCGTCGCCGCCTGCAGCGACTGCAGCGACGCGTCGCGGTGGAACGCCTGGGCGGCCTTGTGCCCCGCCGGCGCCGCTCCGACGCCCGCAGGGGGCTCGTCCCACGGGGACGCGCCGCCGTTCGTCCCCGGCAGGCTCTGCTCGGCGAGGTATGCATTGCAGGCGGCCTCCACGTGAGGCAGGAGGCACGTGCTGAGCAGCAGCGCCAGCAGGTGCACGGCCACCAGCAGTGTTGTGCACATGCTGAAGGCCACGAGCAGGCCCGGCGGGATGGCGTCTTCATTAGAGCCCTCCTTTTTGTCCTTTATGTCGATTTCCACCATGGCCACCTGCGCGCGTGGGGCGGAGACGCGATCCTTAAAAAGTGTGCCGGATTTTCCTCGCCGGTGTCAGGACACCGAGTAATGGATCTGGCTGCATTTGCAGCATCAAGACCCTCCAGCAACCTGACCACGGCCGGATTGGGGTCCTTCTAGGCCCTAGGGATAACTTTCTACAGTTGCTACTGCTGCCCATGTTACGACCGCCGCTGTCACTTGCTTGTTTCAAGCATAGGACAATAACGCCTTCCCTTGCACTACTTTATGATATTAAAAAAAACGATTTACATTGACACGACTCTTGCCTGTTTGTATATACACTGTGCCTATCCTTGTTATATATATTTACTAGTCTATAGCCCATCCAAGGACGGGTGTATTGCAGTAAATCTGAAACATTTAAGCGAAAAGCAGACCGCGACGTCATATGAATTGCATCCACTCATGTGCAAATTGTAAGGCCGCGGTGACGCATACTTATTTCATCATGACGTCCTTTGTACTTGTATGTCTCAATAGCGTTACGCAGATGGCGTGACGCAAGGGGTGTGCCTTTGAAGTGGGGGTTATAAGTTGACGCTGAGGAGGGTGGAGGAGGCGCCTCGCCCCCCCCCCCCATGTGGAGTGACGTCACCTGCTCATGATTATTAATGAGGGGGGGGTCCATTTGGAGGACGTCACCTAGTTATGATTATTAATGAGGGGGGCTGTTCGATGTGGAGTGCCGTCCCCTGCGCATGATTATTAAAGAGGGGGGTGGGGGGTGCTCCATGCGGAGTGACGTCACCCGTTCATGATTATTAATGGGGGGGGGGGTCCATGTGGAGGACTCCACCTGTTTATGATTATTAATGAGGTGGGCTGGTCGACATCACGCGAGTTACAAACAAACAGACATTCTTGGCTCATTATATTAATAATTCAAGAAGATATCGTGGTTACATTTTTTATCATACAAACAAAAAACATGGTCACATTTTTTTCGTAGGCCCTTTAGTTTTTATAGACCCTAGGCAGTGTGCTTACGGTGCGCCAATTGGGTACAACGACCCTGAACCCGACAAGGCAAAACACAATTTAATTGTCGTGCGCACGAGCGTTTAACAACGTGCCGAGTTGTCATCGTGTGACATTTGTTCACCGGTGAACCATTTGTTCACCGGTGAACCGGTGAACCGGTGAACAAATGTCACAGCTACAGTTTAGCAATTAGATACGAGCCCAAAACAAATCAAATATGAAGTTTAAAATGTGTTTGTGTCCTCCGTTCCGTTGATTTCCCCGTTATCCTGCCCTTATTCCTGTCTAATTATCCAGTTGGTTGCCTTATTTAATAAATAGCTTGTCCCATTCACCCCAATTAAGATGAAACATAAATTGCATCGATGTTGATTCAATTTGCTTGCACACTGCATTGATTAAATAAAGAATATTAAAATAAACAAAACTGGTCTGTGAACTCAACAAACACAGTTTGTCAGAGTTACAAATGTAGCTGGGTGGCTTGGGGTGTTAATATCGTGCCAGAGCACCGAGCCACCACGGATGGTCGAGACCCTGAGTTTGAATCCAGGTGAGCAAGTGTCACGTGTTGACCGTCTGAGCCCGGTTCACCGAACGGCTGCGCAAACGAAAGCCGCACGTTAGATCCGCTCAGTCGCTTAATCCGGCCAATTCCTGGTCCGAGAGGCTCACGAAACATTTCACTCGGTTGTCACGCGTCAAACAGCTTTCGGAAATGGGGCCGGTGAGAAGGAGACACCGCGGCTGTCACCGTATGGTGTGGGACGAGAGGCGATTTGAGGGAGACCTCAGAAGTGGCTCTGCGAGGTCGCATCCATCCAGAGACCGTTATCGGGCCCTGGGTGACGTTCCACTGGTTCCGCGCGTTTCAGTTAAATGCGCATTAAACTCGTGCCGTGACGCTGGTAGCATACGTGGGATATTTCATGGTGCAGAGGAGAGAGACACACAGCGTTGTGCGTCTGTCCGTTTCTCTGATACTTTAATTATTAGAATACGAACCTGTAACGTGCACGGTGCTTGCTCGCTCTCGTATTGAGAGGACGACTCCGTGGAGCGAGGGCTAACCACAGACAGGCGGGGAAGGTGGGTGGGCAGCTCGCCATGAGGAGCCGGCTGCCAACAACTGCCCAAGCCCTGCGGTCCTCTATATAGTAAATTGTTATCGGCCAATTAATTACTGTTTACATGTGAGAGGAAAGCGGAGTAACCGGAGAACACCTACGTGTGCCAGGGGGAAACACTCCATCCCATGCAGAGAGAATAGATGGAGTCCACATTTTTGCTGTACCGCCTGCTCCGGGCGAGCCAAAGAAGGGCTCCTCAACACCCACGTGAGAGGGAGTTTTAACAACATTGGTGCGGTGGATCCACCAACCGTCCAGTGCTGGACTACAGGTCGCGTACATAGCCACCACCACCCAGTTTCTCTCCATTTAACCTCACTGCGTGTCGTCCTTCTCCGTGCGTTTCTCTGCTTTTCTATTGATCATCTTCATGTATCTCTCCCCGTGCCTTTCTGTCGGCCTCTCTCCTGATCTCTTCATCTCTCTATCTCTCTGTTTCTTTAATTCTCTCTCTGAATCTCCCTCTAGGCCTCCGTGTGTGGGTCTGTTACACGTCTGTGCACATCTCCCTGCGTCTCTCTCTCTTTCACTCTCTAGACTTCTCACTATGTCTGCCTCTCTCCTCTCTCTCGCTCTGTTTTTCACTCTCTCGGTCTCGAGGTGCCGTGTTCTCCACGTTTGGACAGGACTGCACTTAAGCCGTGAGATGGCTGTGAGCCAGAGGCTGCGCAAACAAGAATACGAAACCGCGGGGCATCAATCACGGCGCCTGACGCCACGTGTACAGGGGCCGGTGCAGGGCAACCAACTCAAATCCTGCGGAAGGTGAACGCAAAGGCACAGCCCTGCAATTTCTCCGCTCACGCCACTGAGAAGGTGGAGCTCTACACGGAGCCCATCGGGGGGGGGGGGGGTTTGACCCCACTCCTTCAAGCGCCTCCTTCGCCCTGCACCCCCTCACGCTTTCGTTCCTCTTCCCTTCTTGCTCCCCGACACGTAACCAACTCCCACTGCAGCACATCAAGCACTCATCTTCACCGACCTGCTTCCGTTCTTCCCTTGAAACAACGCCCAGCACATCCTGCTGCTGCTGCTACTTCTGCCCCCTGCTAAAACCAGACCTACCCCAACCCCTATCACTACCCCAACCCCTATCAGTACCCCAACCCCTGTCACTACCCCAACCCCTGTCGCTACCCCAACCCCTGTCGCTACCCCAACCCCTGTCGCTACCCCAACCCCTGTCGCTACCCCAACCCCTGTCACTACCCCAACCCCTGTCACTACCCCAACCCCTGTCACTACCCCAACCCCTGTCACTACCCCAACCCCTGTCCCTACCCCAACCCCTGTCACTACCCCAACCCCTGTCACTACCCCAACCCCTGTCACTACCCCAACCCCTGTCACTACCCCAACCCCTGTCACTACCCCAACCCCTGTCACTACCCCAACCCCTGTCACTACCCCAACCCCTGTCACTACCCCAACCCCTGTCACTACCCCAACCCCTGTCACTACCCAAACCCCTATCACTACCCCAACCCCTATCACTACCCCAACCCCTATCACTACCCCAACCCCTATCACTACCTCAACCCCTATCACTACCCCAACCCCTATCACTACCCCAACCCCTATCACTACCCCAACCCCTATCACTACCCCAACCCCTATCACTACCCCAACCCCTGTCACGACCCCAACCCCTATCACTTCCCCAACCCCTCCTTGTCCACTCGCGCCTCTTCTCCCGTCACCATAACTACACCACTACTTTGAATAACAACCCCAACTCTATCATCTCATGTGCAATTTTATAACTTCTGTAAAACGCCTTGGAATGAGGTGCTATTAGATGTATCTACGAAAGAGATATCTTGGCCGGAGTGGTGGGATTACCCAACATCGACCCTGCTGCACGAGAGCTGCTGATAGACAATCCAGTTCACGGGTGTCTTCAGCTACTGATCGATAGTAAACTGACAATCCAGTTCACGGGTGTCTTCAGCTACTGATCGATAGTAAACTGACAATCCAGTTCACGGGAGTCTTCAGCTACTGATCGATAGTAAACTGACAATCCAGTTCACGGGTGTCTTCAGCTACTGATCGATAGTAAACTGACAATCCAGTTCACGAGTGTCTTCATCTACTGATCGATAGTAAACTGACAATCCAGTTCAAGTGTGTCTTCATCTACTGATCGATAGTAACTGACAATCCAGTTCACGGGTGTCTTCATCTACTGATCGATAGTAAACTGACAATCCAGTTCACGGGTGTCTTCATCTACTGATCGATAGTAAACTGACAATCCAGTTCACGTGTATTTATCCCCACCATTGGGGGTGAGGTTTAGGTCCGCCCAGCATGCAAGTAGAGACGCAGACCCCAGCGCGTCACCTGGGCGCGCCACCGCCGCCGCCGCCGCCACCGCCCCCATTGTCGGTGATGACGGAGAGAGACATCGCCACCAAGCGTCAGACGGAACGTCGAGAGGAGATCTTGGGGAATGTTGGCTGGCGGTTCACAGGCCCCAACGTGTGAACGCGCCGTCCTCATTTCGCCTTCCTCGCAATAACCAGGGCGGTCCCCCGCACCGCCGATTAGCACGGCTGGCTACGTACGGTGCGAAAGAAGTTTACGTACACACATGGTGGGAGAGCACGGGGCCCGGGGCAAACCCCACCGCGTGGCCCCCGCGCCCTCCCGCCCCCTGACGCCTTCAAACTAAGCCAGAAGTATTGCATCGGACACCGTGACGTCGAAGCAATAGGGCCCCCCCCCAAAGCGCGGGGCCCGAGGCGGTGGCCCCGATTCGCCGTACCCTAGAGGCGACTCTGCTCGAAATCCTCCGGCGTGGTGAAAGTACGCGGAGCGGCCTTGCTGTCTGCCAATCCTCCGGGGGATTGGCAG